CAAAACGAAACGTATGTCGGTATATCAAATTAATAATTCAGGTTTGAATAAAATGACATACAACTAGAATAATATAGGTAATTAACGTGTTCTCGTTATTTAGACACCCAATCTGTTTATCTAGAAGGGCTAGTAAACTGGTCTCATTTTTTCGGTAACAACTTCACCGTATGCTTGATGGACCGTGAGCTCGCCACCCCATCTTAGACAAAATCTCCCCCTTTAAGTCACCGTTATCTATATATTAATACGTGAAGCAAAAACTTTGTATCCCTTTTTACGAAAATTGAGCGGACGGAGGAGTATGAAATTTCCACTTATAGAGAATATAGAGAAGAAGTGCACAATGCTAATATTTTTTTAAAATAATACATAAAAGGTACATTAAATCAATAAAGAAAACATTACACACACTACATACCACGTATTTGATGCACACACGCATGCATACTATTTATTGTCAAACTTTTGTTCTTGACGTCTGTTGTCAAATTGAAAATAAATTAAATATTGTTTGTCTTTGTTAATATTTTTATAGTGTAGTCTTGGCGAAATTTGTGATTATAGAAGTATAAAATACAATCATAATAGTGTACAAACTTACAACTACAATTAATTATAGTCGAATTTCGACTACTGCGGGATCTCTAGTATAATATAAAAACATATATGTACATAGATGTATAAAAATAAAAAGGCCATTGTCAAAGCTATTATACAACAGGAATGAGCTTTAGTCTGATTTTTTTTATTACTACGATGGATCGAGCTCACGGTCCCGGTATTAAGTGGTCACCGGAGCCCATACAACAACCAAGTTAATGCCGCCAGCCTCCTTGAGATATGATTTCTAAGTATCAGCTTTTATAGTACAAGGTCTGCCCCATCCTTAAATCCTAAACGCGTTACTACTTCACGGCAGAAATAGGCAGCGGGGCGGTACTAACCAGTGCGGTCTCACAGGCTACATGACACGGACAGGACCCTAATATAGTAGTAACAACGAAAAACATCGTTCTATTAAAACAAAAATTAAATTTACTAGCTAAAATTTTGGAATGTAAAAATTTTGCGACCCCGCAATATGATGCAAATTCGTAATGCCGTTGAACTTCCGAATCAGTTTATTCTGAATTGTGATACATTGCGTGAAACAAAAATGTAACTATATAGTGAAATAAAATTTGTTGAACTTTTTTTTTGTACCGATCACTAACATAGTACAAGATAAGAAAGACTATTTTATTTAATTGTGCTGGTGATGTATTTTTTTTCTTGGCGTTCAACGAACAAAATAAACTTTATAGAACAACTGCTTTTCCGAGAACGATTCTAATACACCCTGTATAACGCTTGTTATAAAGCCATACGCATCGGTTTTGCAAACGCTAATCTCATTTTACTATTTACCTTATTATTTTGAAATGTATTGTAGTGCTAAAGTATATATCGACGCTAGAAAGGCAAACGTGACTAAGCGACAATAACTGCTTTGTACATAAATGATAGGCAATAACCATATTCGATGCGCAAAAAAAATAGATTTCTAAGTCTATTAAAATAATTTCAATCCTACAGCTAAATTCGTTAAAATATAATTTTTTTCAGGTATTTCAACTTTAAATTAGTCTAATGTAAAGTTCACGAATTGTCGCTTAGTCACGTTTGCCTTTCAAGCGTCGATATATATTCACGTAATTACAATAGTATGCACCTATCGACAGCAAAGTAAAGACTGGCCATTACAATTCCGTTAAGGTTTACTAGCGTTCCATCCGCAGGCAGCTTCACTTTATATCGCGTAGATGATTAAAAAATTCGTTTTAAATGAATCGAATGCCTATATTTTATTTGAAAGGAAAATACGAATTTTTTGCCACAAGCACCAGGTGGGCCTTGAGCTCGTCCAAGCATGTAAGCAATACAAAGCAACAAAAATAAAAAAGGTGTCGGAAATTTGCTCGAACAAAAAAAAAACAAAAAAATCACAGGCTTATGTTTTATTATCATCTATTTTTACTCCTTTTTTTCAATATACAGAAACACCGGATTGTATTTTTTTTTTATTATATGTATGTATTAATGTTTTACTTAATGCGTATTTGTTTTTAACGCATGCATTTATGGAAGAATTGGGAGTCTGAGTTCTTCACAACAGCAATGGTAAGACAAAGCACTTTAGGCACATGTATGAATTATCTTTCAATTTAATGTTTATATAGATATTAATTATATAACAAAGACTACAATGTGTTATCCGGAAAGACTTACAGTAAAATGCGAATTGTATTATTTTGTGCATAGTTAAATTATATTTAAAAACGACTACAGTGTTAATTCGTTTATTTTACTTTTGCTTTAAATTATTCCCGAATCGGTGAACCAAGACAATGTTTTTTATTTAATCTTTAAAGGTATTCTAAAGTCGTCGTGGCCTAAAGGATATGACTCCTGGTGTATTCGTATCAATTGAGACTATTCGTATCAATCGTATCAATTAATTTGAGATTTATCTCGGTTTGGCGGCATTTTCACGCCTGAGTTATGTTTTTTCATACATTTCAACAACACTAACACTTCAACTTCTTTTTTTTTTTGTTTAAATTATTGATTATTTTGCTGTTTCTATCATTAAGAAACTCATACAGTTCATATAAATTACATAATCTTGATCGTCATCGAGACCGCTCAAACACATTCTATTTGCATATATGAACAAATGACTATGTAACAGCGTAATTATATTGTGTAATTTTGTAATAAAACCCGCTGAAATCTACAATTTTTTAGAGGTATATAGAAATTGAAGTATAGGGTTGTTTCTTTAAAATTTAAGTTACATCTTTTAAATATAGAAATGAACAGATTAACGAATTAGTATTAAAATCAACTTCTTTGTACAATATCATTTTCATATCGGCCAGTAACTAATACTTCACAAATAAAATATTATATTAGGAGATAAAATGTTTTTGTCTATTTTGTGTCGAAGATTGCCACACTCCATAATCACACCAATTGTTGGGATCAGAAAATTAACCTGGCCAATTGCTGTGCTATTCCAATAGCTGAAATTAATGCCATTAAAAGGGCACTAATGTAGCAGTGATTCTCAACCATTGTGTCGCGGTACTTTTGTGTGTCGTCATATTTTTAACGTGCATTTTACTTTCAAAATTATCATGCTTATTATACACAGTGTATTAGAGTAAAGTTTTTAAATTTGTCTTTTTCTTTGTATCCCGTCAAATTATGAAATTTGTTAGTGTACCGCGACAAAAAAAGTTTGAGAACTGGTTGTGAAAAATAGATAGTCATAGTGAAACATAGATAAAAAAGTCAGATAAAAAAGTTCCTAAGACCGTTCCCTCGTTTTGTAAATTATTATAATATAAACTCGCCAAATGTATAATCCGCCTTAGTCAAACAAATATGTTAATCCTAAACAGCAGATATTCACTGACGCTATATAACGATAGGAGAGGCATAAGATCGAATTGTGTTGCCGATTCAAGAAAACATTATATATTTTTTTAAGTATGGTATGGACATGTGATGCGTAGAGAGAAGATGCATGTGACTAGGAGATGTATGGAAATGGTAGTACAAGGTAGAGGGGAAGAGGTCGACCGAAAAAGACATGGATAGAGTGTGTGAATGACGATATGAGAGAGAGAGGAGTGAGTGTTGAGATGACGGCTGATAGAAGAGAATGGAAGTGAAAAATTAGCTGTGCCGACCTCATCTAGTGGGATAAGGTGGAGAAAAAGAAGATTATATTTTTTTACTCGCAATTAGTGACCTCTTTGTATAGATGTATATTGTATACTTAATTATAACGCTTTTATTAGCTTGGTATGTATGTATGTTTGTATGTAATGGAATCTATGAACGTCATTTTCACAGACTCCAAGACGTCCGACTAACTTGAACATGCATCAAGAACCGATGAAATTTTCTAACTTTCCTCAACTTAATCAGTATCAGCAGTATTAAAAAATATATATATTAGAGGTTCGGTCTACTATAATATAAGCGTGGTTCTTTAGTTTTTAAATAAAATATATATTATTACACTGTTATTATAATCGTTCCGTCCGAATATTAAAAACAATGCTGGCCATCCGCCCTACCCTCTAAATTAACATAATTAATACGTTCATTGCGTGTTTTAATACCCTTGTGTAAATCTTATGTAAATCAGTGGCTTATTGTAAATGATTTTCCGGCCGCGTTCCTATTTGTTGACGTAATTTTTTTGTTAATACTGTATTATAAATACGAAAGGGAGTTTGTTTGTTACATTTTCACGTTTTAATAACTCAAACGAACCGAAGTCAATTTAATTTCACTAAAATTAAATTTCCTATACACGTTGTAAGGAAACAGCACACGGCATACCTTCCGTCCTGAAAAAAAATTACTACATAGTATTATCTGTATCGATTTTCACTATTAACGCGAATAAAGCCGCGGTTAACAGCTTATTGTTTAAAAATTACGACCAACCCTCTATAAGTACCTACTTACTCACGATACATTTTTGTTATTGTATCAAATAGAATAAAATCTACTTAATTCTTACTTGTCCTAGACCAATATAAGATGAAGTTTAATGATTCATTTTTCAGACTAAGACTATCAATGGAATGTAAAATAAATATAAAAATAGCTTATTCCGTAACACGAGTGCACGTTCCGACGTAAAAATGCATTAAAACTTGGTACCGACATCCGCATTGCAGTGTTTGTTAATTGTATTTATTTTTAAAGATTTTTTTTTTAAATGTCGAGCAAAATTGCGGTTGTAAAATAAATTTCACCGCTCGTTTGTCTTTTGAAGCAATAACAGCACTCAAATAAATGGTTGAATCATGTGTTTAGGTTAAACAATTTCCAATTTTCAACGCTACTTAAACCAGATTTCGTAAAGTTGAATCTAAAACTCGATAAAGTATCCCACAAAACAATTCATGTAACAAACTATTTGTTTTCAACAGCGGTTATCGTGGTGGTAGCATGAACAAGCGCCGTGAAACGCGAAGGTTTGCTTTTTACGGCATTTACGCTTGGGGGGTACCAGCTTTGCTAACAGCCTTCACCATGATAATGCAGCTGAGCGAAAATATACCAAGTTATCTAATTACCCCGGGATTCGGTCAAAGAAAATGCTGGTTTGTTGGTGAGTATCTTTTTTTTCTTTTTTTTTTTTATTGCTTAGATGAGTGGATGAGCGCATGGCCCACCTGATGTCAAGTATTTACCGGATACGATAGACATTGACAACGTAAATGCTGCCACCGACCTTAAGATACGAATTTTAAGTTTCAGTTTCATAGTGTAGGGCCTCCACCCTTCAAACTATAAATTTTATTTTATATCTTTTGTTTCATTTATCTATTTCACAGTCGTAGTGAACTAGACGTTGATATGGGGCCAGGTTAATATAAATATACCTAAATATTATAATACTGTACAAAACCTACTCAATATTAGATAGAGATTTATATACAAGTTATGTTTGTTCCGACAAAGTTGTAATTCGGATAAAATCTTATTATTCTGTTGGTCTACATGTCATATTATATCTCCAAATGAAGTGAAGAAAGATGAATATAATCAGGATACGTAAAATGTATTACATATTTAAATTATAGATTTTAGTTTATGTTTGTTTACAATTGATTTCGACTTTATATCTCCGGTAGGAGATTAAAAAATAGCAATAATTTTGTTACTGAATACGGTATGTGTACTTACATATACCTCATACATTATTGAACCGTTGGGATGAAGTAGTATAAAATATAGTCCCGCATTTTCATGCTCTAAGCCTACATACGAGTGTATTACCAAAGTATATTGCCTACCGTGTGTTTAGTTGACTTTATTTCTTGAAGCTACCCTTATTTATGATCTTTAAGCTTTAGATACGCAAGAAAGTCATTTGGAATGCCAACGAAGCAAATATTAATAATTATTTCCTTAAATCTCACAGATTTCAAAAGTGAACTGCTGTATTTCTACCCTTCAGTACTTACCTTAGTTGTTGTAAACGTAATTCTTTTCTCCGTGACGGCGTATCGTATTAGATCTATCCGACAAGAAACGGCTATTTTAAAGGGATCTGAATCTTCGAGGAGTGATAAATTGAAAAAAGATAAGCAAAGGTTAGTTTTTAATTTAAGCCACTGTAATTACTTATATCATTAATAATGCTAGTAATCGTAAAATTATTGTAATACTAGCTGACCCGGCAGACTTCGTAGTGCCTCAATCGATAAATAAAAGACCTAAGCTAACAAAAGGAATCCGTTCGGAAAATTGTTATTTTTATTTCATTCCGATCACTTTCATATTTATCTACCTTTTAAACCTTCTCTGGACTTCCACAAATAATTCAAGACCAAAATTAGCCAAATCGGTCCAGCCGTTCTCGAGTTTTAGCGAGACTAACGAACAGCAATTCATTTTTATATATTATTGTAATTGTAATTGTAATATAATGCCTAATATCACAATATTTACTTTTTATCTGTTAACGCTTAAGTTCGTTGGTAATTAAAACTACTTTCGCGGCTTCATTTCGGGTTTTATTATATTATTTTCGACGTTTCAAATAATATAATGAGAATAAAAAAAGTGTGATTAAACCGCTAATTTTATAACTGCGGTTAGCGAAAAACGAAAAAAACAATACAGGTTTTTTTATTATTATATTTTATTGTGTATTTTTATTTACCCGTATCTATACGGAAATATAGCGTTAGTAGATGACAAATAATAATAAGTGGAATAACACACAAGAGAGCTGTAATTTTAATTAAATTTTTGATCAGGTGCAAAATGGTAAATTTTTATGATGTCATTTTCCGAGTCGGGAAAGAATTCGAGAAGGGAAAGATTCGGGATAAAATTAATTGTGATGAATTTTCATGGAATGAAATCAAAAGTTATGACTCGGGATGAAATCGTAATTTTTTTTATTGAATTAATTAATACCCTTACTGCTTTAGTGAGAACCGTTTTCTTTTAAATTGATAACAGTATAAAAACGATGATAGGATAAATTTATCTTGAAAATTTATTTTGGAGGTCGCCACGTCTTCTAACAAAATTTAAACGATATTACCTGGTGGCTTTTGAGATAGATTGAAAATTAAATATTCATCTTTCTCTTCCTCAACTTTTCTTATTAGGGCGTGTTATATTTTTTCAAGTCGTTTTATGAACATTCATTAATCTTGATAAAAAACTGTTATTTTGTTGCTTAAAAGACGACCTTTGAAATTATTTATATATTACAAACATTTCATATTGTTATTAAGTTTATATTCGAGCGCGCTTTTAAGGTTTTACGAATGATATCTTATAATAATATATAAAATTCGTCTGTTAATTTGTACGTTCGTGAACTCAGATAGCAAAACCGATTTTGATGATTTTTTGTGTGTGTGTTCGTGTAGATTCGAGAATCGTCTAAATTCATAATTCGATCCAGTACAAAAATGTTTATGTATATTTTATAAAAAAATATTGAAATATTCAAATTTAAGTCATGAGTACAGAACAATGTCTGTCGGGTCCGCTAGTTATATTATAAAATTGAACACTACTATTATGACGGTTTTACTATTTACTACTGTAACGTTTTTTTAATCCTCTTTAAAATACTTTATTTATAATAATAAAAATTAACAACATATTATAAATTTTCAGGTATTCTTTATACTTGAAATTGTTTGTCGTTATGGGTGTGAATTGGACAATCGAGGTGATAGGCTTCGCAGTCGGCGGATCTAACTACTACTGGATTCTGATAGACATATCGAATATCGGACTTGGAGTCTTCATATTTTTAATATTCGTTTGGAAAAAGAAAGTCAGAAACCTAATAAGGAAAAGGTAAGGGCACTAGTTTGTGAAATACCCTTCCAGGTTTTATGTTAGGTACCATATTCAAACATCGAATCTAATGCCTCATAAAAATTTTTATTTATTTTTTATTGCTTAGATGGGTGGACTAGCTCACAGCCCACCTGGTGTTAAGTGGTTATTAGAGCCCATAGACATCTACAGCTGCGCCACCCACCTTGAGATATAAGTTCTAAGGTCTCAAGTATAGTTACATCAAGTATAGTTACAACGGCTGCCCCACCCTTCAAACCGAAACGCATTACAGCTTCACGGCAGAAATAGGCAGGGCGGTAGTACCTACCCGCGCGGACTCACAAGAGGTCCTACCTATAATGTATCCTATAATGTGGGTACTATGAGTTTTTCTTTTCAAGAGATGTGTAAACTAATATTACGGATGAGATAAAGAAATGCAATAAGGGGCTGGTGTCTCATATCCGTATCTTTTTACCACATGAAGTTACTGTATTTCAGTTTTGTATTTTGATGCTATGCTCGAACAAAACAGCAGGTCTAACAGATCGCTGCCAGTGACCTCGACTACCAACTTATACCACCGCATCTGACCTGTAGTGTTTGTTTTTTTACGTCCTGTATCTTCGATACCCGTAACAAAGGAGAAAATCCTAGCTTGTGACAGTTATAGTAATAAGGAAAGGAGCATCCCAGTCTCGCTGAATACTAAATAATTTGCAGAGATGGAACGTAGGTGTGCGAACCCGAGCATTTGTCCGTAAATCATCTATATTGCTTTCCTTACAAGTATTATATTATCATTTAATAGAAATCATAGACTATTATTTCCAGAACCATATTGTTTAATAGTGTTTTAACGTATTTCTGAATCTATTATTAATCTCACAATAGAGTTAAACATAGATCACTATATTAAGTAATTTATTATACGCTTTGTTACAACAACTATGGAAAAAAAACACACTTTTACTTAGTTCACATTAATGAATTATCGAAATTTTTTAAATATTAGTAATAGTATGATTATATTAATGTTTAAAATAGGCATACATATTAAATAATCCAACAGTTAAGCCGCTAGCTTGGCTAGTGCTAGCTTAACATGTCTCACTTTTTGGGATAGTCAAATATAACTTGTGTTCTAGAAAATTCACTGCGTTTACAGGAATGAAAGAAACCGTCAAACGAATCAGGACTCTATTCCTAGGTCATCAGAGGAAATAATCATTCCACGTTTGTGATAAAAGTAAGAGTTTCACGACGCCAATGCACGAACAATTAATACATTGTCGTGTTAATTTCATAAAAAGCCTTAATTTAATTAATAATTACACAGATTTGTTGTTTTGTTAACTAAAACAAAAGTGACTATCATTTTACAGTTAACTAATTAATATGTAATGAGGACTTACAATTTTAATAGCGCTCATTCTTTTCGTTTTTAAGCAACACCGTTAATTTTCGTAATTTTTAAGTTTAATCCCTGGATAACCCTCCGAGACTTCGCGGTCACAAAGTTTGTGACCGTACAACGTCGTAGCACAGAATTGTGTTACGAAGTTTTACATTAGTCTTCTACGACTGCTTTATATGTGTCATACTAATTTAGGAAATTACATAATAATATCTAGGTATGTAGGTACGGATTTTATTATTTCGACTGTAATATCAGCTGTCGTTTCACAGAACCTACATTCTAGGTTAGGTTTACGTCAGACTTTTTTTAAACCACAGATAATTGTCATAAATTTTTGATTAATTAATTCCATACTACATTAGTATTTTAGGGTTTTTAGGCTTACTTGTAAACCAAAGTACAAATTTTATATAGTAATTTGGACACTATAGGTAACAACTTTTGTACGTAGGAATGGATTGGGAGTCGTACACAAATCAATAGGCACTCAGGTCGTTGACAGGAACAAATTACGAGGTTCTGCCAGAACTGAGACATGTTACGTCTGAAATTGTTAAATAAATTATGTATTCAGTAGCTTTATCCCTAGCTATTTTCTAATACATTATTTTGATGGTAAACATTTTTGTTAGACTTTTCTCAAATTTAAGAGTTCGTACCTTTTATTATCATATTATCTGTTCAAAAAAATATACAAGATATTAATCCGGTACATAATGTTTTGAATAAATTCAGAGTACCTATCTAAATTATTTTCGAGCCACTGTTCTGTAGAACAATGAGCCAATACAGAAACTAAAATCGGTTATGCAAATTACATTTACAATGGAATACTTTCATCGTTGTCGCTCTAATAAAAACACATTAAAAGCTTTCGGAAAGGGGCTTTGCAAACAAATATTAAGTTAACGTTTACTGTCAATATGTGTCAATACCGTTTGTTTAGTAAATTGAGTTACGATATGATGAAACAGCAACGCAAGAAGTTTTGTTTGGTTTGCGAATTTCCCACAGTTATGTAATGGAAACTCTGTCAATTATGTTTAAAGTGAATGAGTTATTAACCATCGATAAAATATGAAATCCAAATATAAATTTGCATATGTTGATATGAATAAATATAAATTGTTTTTTTTTGCAATAAATGTTCGGTGAAATATTTAACGCTCAGGAAATTAGTTTAAAACTGATTTATTACATTCCATCCCAACCCATTGACAAAAACCACTAAATTTTTTACAACCAAGAAGAACCAATAAAAATTAAGGTACTAATTTTAATCCACATTAAGTAATATTGATTGATTGATGTGACGTAATAATACAAATTGTATGTTTATGTGTATGTATATGCATATATATGTATGTATGTGTGTATGTGTATGTATATGTACATATTTCACGGGATTGGTAGTGGCGCGTAATTCGTTTCCAAATGATTCTTGTCCATCTGATGGTTGTCTGAAGAGATCGCTCTTAGCGATAAGACCGCCAATTGTAATTTTTTTGTATTTAATGTATCGCATTGTTTATTTATCTTTTGGTGTATAATAAAAATACTCTCTCCCTCTCTCCCTCTATCTCTCTCTCTCTCTCCACTCTGCTAATTTATGGCGGATGGAACCGTTGATTAGACTATAGTCAGACAAAAATCTGCCCTGAAATCAATAGCTTGCGTATGTTACAGTTAAATTAGGTAATTAGTATTGTTGATAGTTTTAGCTTGACGGTGGCTCGGCAGTTTTAGTACTTTGTACTGCAATACTACCTATTTTAATTTTAAAAGTCACGGTTCCGTTTTCCCCATAAAGTCTTTCAGAAAAGATCGAGTACGAGTATTAGCTTTGTTAAGATGTAAATATAAACTTATGATAGATTAATCTTAACCGCACCTACAATCGTTTTAGTGTACCTACTCTAAAATTACGTCCTTGTACACTAAGATAATAATAGCTAATTATTTCAGATTTCAACAAATCCGAGGTCAACGTGTTTCTTCAGACGGACCAGGAATAAAGTGGACCACCAGCTCTGCACCCACAGAGGACACTCGCGTATCCGGCGACGAGTCCCTGATAAGATTAAAGGAATTGCGTTAGTGGAGAAAGAGGTATAGTTCAATTAATAATAAATAAATAATATCTAGAAATATACACTCTAAATACCACCTCACTGATCATCGTTTACTGTAAGCCATAAGAACTACGTCTCTATAATTAAAGATATAAAGTAGAATTTGGAGAAGATATTATGTGATGTATGGAATAGATGACGGAGTGCTATTGTTTAGTAGGTACGTATTGTTTACATACCATCAAGAAACTGAGACAAGATCTGATTCTTATCTGACAAGCTGTATGTTAGGTACCTATTATGTACTTTTAACATATTGTGGAAAAGAAAATAGATTTTTGCGTGTGACCTCTTTTTTTAATACTCTTCACAGATTATGAAATAATTTACAGTTTTTACAGATACCAATAAAACAAAAGTATCGTGAAACAATGATCAGTACATAGTATTGTTTTTCGAAAACTGCTTTATTTTATTGTCAGAGAAGTTTATGTATTTACAAAAAATGTTGTAAATGGAACAGAACTTACAGAAAATTCATTTAATAAGTAAGCTCCTTATCTTCTTTCGTGCTTTGTCTCATTTTCGGAACCCGTATTTACGTATCTGGGAAGAATAAAAATTATTTTGTAATGGTAGTTTATCTGCAAAAAAAAAAGTGATATTGTTTTGATTTCATATCAAAATTATACTAAATCGGTTATAAAATACGAGTTTGTTTTGTATAACAAATAGCGCAACTTAAATCTTAATTTTAGTAACGTGTAGGTACATAAGTTTGACAGTAGGTATTATTAGTTCCCTTCATAGTTTAATGTGGACTTAAATTATTATTATTATTTTTTTTATTGCTTAAATGGGTGGACGAGCTCACAGCCCACCTGGTGTTAAGTGGTTACTGGAGCCCATAAACATCTACAACGTAGACGCGCCACCCACCTTGAGATACAAGTTCTAAAGTCTCAGTATAGTTACAACGGCTGCCCCACCCTTCAAACCGAAACGCATTACTGCTTCACGGCAGAAATAGGCAGGGCGGTGGTATCTATCCGCGCGGACTCACAAGTGGTCCTACCACCAGTAAAATTAATTTTGCTTCGAAACGTTTAAATATCGTGATATTGTATTTTAGACTGTCACTACGTTTATTGTTTAAGTACCAGAAAGGCTAAGGTATCTTTCATCTCTAATAATAAATAGCTACTAAATTTTTATATCAGCTAACTGCTCGTAGCTTCGCAAGCGTGGACTACACTTTGTAGTATGCAGGCTAACACTGTCGATCTTTCATCTCACTACTCTGCAATGAAAAGTGATGATAACTAAAATTTTACTAAATGCATAGCGAATTTCGTAAAAATCATCATTTGAGTTTAGAAACGTAACAAATAAATCAAATTATTTTCGAACTTTATATCTTAGTACGGATGATGAAGCTATAGTTATTTTAGGCCATCACATCAAAGAAAAACCGAACTTAACCTCATTTTTCCAAGAATGAATTTTATCTTATCTTATTTGTTCCCAGATAGCATGACACGTTCGAGCCAAAGAATTCTCATGACGCCTTGAAATTAAAGGATGTACCTATATATCATAAAATATTTAATCGTTGACACGTACTAGATGTAAGTAAACCGTTGCTGGAGGTAAGGAAGAGGAATACAAGTACTGGTTATTCTTAACACGAAAACATATTATTATGATAATCGTGATACAAATTATTTTAAGAAGAAACGCGACTGCCATTTTTTAAATTCTAAATCTAAATCTAAATCCAAATAAAATTTGCAAATTCTAAATTCAAATTTGTTATTCTAATTTAAACAGAAGAATAAGTTTTGAGGTCCTAAAGGTCCTAACGGTCCAATCTTTTCCGCTGCATAGTTAAAAATTGGCTGACACCCGTGGGTCAAGTTCTTTTTTGAAGTACCTATAATTGTTTTTTGCGACACTATTTTTGCCGGTGTCGTTTATAAAAATCTTCAATAAATAAAATTTATAAGTACATACTATGAAGAGAAATGAGATGAAGTTGATTAATTTGAGACTTGAACCCCAGAAGCTAATCCAGCGGTTTTATTTCAATTTCTCACATTTTTACACATTCACAAATGCTAAACAGTTAATATGCTATCGTTATTAAATATTTAAACCTAAAGGTACCTACACTAAATTAATAAATATAACTCACAACTTGCGTTCTCGCCAAAAAAGCGTTTCGTGCAACGCTGGGATTCGCAAAGATTATTACAAATATAGAGGCCTTCTCTTGATATGTCCAGATTCATGAAATATGTACCTATGGATGTCGTAACAAAAGGAGAAGTTGGTTATTTTAGTTACGTTTCGGCAATGGTTTTCTCTCAACGCCATTTTTGTTTAAAAGAGATTAAAGAAACTTTGTTACCGTAGTTTTAATTGTAGCAAGAATATAATTATGCCATATTTGATTCTCGTAGCCATTTTGCTAATTTTGTTGATGTTAACATACTGTTATGTACATACCTACATACTTTTCTTAGCATTTCATTTGATCGTTGAATGTAGAAAGTAAGTTAGCATAAGTTAGTAATTAACACATTTATTAAATTTATGAAAGGAAATCTATTTATATAAAAATGAATTGCTGTTCGTTAGTCTCGCTAAAACTCGAGAACGGCTGGACCGATTTTGCTAATTTTGGTCTTGAATTATTTATGGAAGTCCAGAGAAGGTTTAAAAGGTAAATAAATGTGAAAATGCTGGGACTTAAATAAAAATAACAATTTTGTTTTTCCTTTGATGTGTCCCCCGTCGGACGGATTCCTTTTGTTTGTTTTAAGTTTGTTTTATACAAAAGTTTAGGTCTTTTATTTATCGATTGACGCACTACGAAGTCTGCCGGGTCAGCTAGTTCATTTATAAAAGGATAAATAGGTATGAATGATTTGTTATGGCATATGAAACGAACGAACAGTTTGCATTTAATTATTTTATTTACGTAGGTACATAGAGTTTAGTAAAATTTTGTTGATAGTTTTAAGGAAAGTAAGTAAGTCGTCGTGGCCTAAAGAATAAGACGTCCGGTGCATTCGTATCTAGCGATGTAACGGTGTTCGAATCCCGCAGGCGAGTACCAATTTTTCTAATGAAATACGTACTTAACAAATGTTCACGATTGACTTCCACGGTAAAGGAATAACATCGTGTAATAAAAATCAAACCCGCAAATTTTAATTTGCGTAATGACTGGTGGTAGGACCTCTTGTGAGTCCGCGCAGGTAGGTACCACCACCCTGCCTATTTCTGCCGTGAAGCAGTAATGCGTTTCGGTTTAAAGGGTGGGGCAGCTGTTGTAATTAAACTTGAGACCTTAGAACTTATATCTCAAGGTGGGTGGCGCATTTACGTTATAGATGTCTATGGGTTCCAGTGACCACTTAGCACCAGGTGGGCTGTGAGTTCGTCCACCCATCTAAGCAATAAAAAAATAAAAAGTAAAATAAAACGCGGCATAAAAATTCGTTCTATCGCTAATTAATTTCTAGTCTTACAACAACTCGTGTAAATAATAAATATTATTCATTATAAAAGCCTTGTACCTCATTTACAACAAAATTATAAATTAGTATCTAATTTTAAGATTTCTTTTATCACCTTTATATATATATATATATATATATATAGAAAGTGAGTTTTCACCATGTCATGTCAAGGACAACTGCAATAAATGCAATGCCAGGAATACAGCAAAGTCGCTGTCGTCCGTTCTAACAGTAACATCTATGAAACAGTATTTTCTTTTTATTATGCCTAACATCAGTTTAATTTTGTAAAATTAAATACTACTTCTACAATGCATTAAGCCTGTAACAATACAGTCTAAAAACGAACACATTGCTTTTCAATTTCAAATGGGCATAATTTATTTTATTTATATTTGTTGTTACCTTCATAAAGAAAAGACTTAAGTAGTTATTTACGTAATAAAACCATATTTTTGTCGTACTTTTCGATTAATTAAGCTATAAATACTTCAATAAACCACCTATAATTAAGATTTAGATACATAGTATTTTAATGCATTTAATAAATACCTAATATCCAAAGTCAATCTCTTCGTTTTATTTATTCCTAGTATTTACCTGCAGAATTGTACGCATTATAAGGTGTCAATGACAATACAGTCACTAAAGTGAATATTTAAATATAATATTGATTTTAAATGCTTGAGACCCTTATTTTTCTAAATTTACACCATGTCGTAGCCTACTACAATTTACTTGCTCGGACCATTCCTGTATTTGTATTGGAGTCATTAGAGGGTTGAAGTAATGAGCAGCTTAGAATAGTGCAGTTTTCCTTTTAAAAATGTGAAGTAGTGCTAGTGGTTATGTGCAGCGCTCTTTACCTTTGAAGTAACTAAATTTTGGTTACTCATTGTACTACATTTTAATGTTTTGAGATATTCATATCTTCTCCATTCAAGACGATCGTTTCTACTACTACTAGCTCTATTCTTCACGATTATAGTAGAGTTGTATGTGAAATTTGAAACCAGTGTATCGGTATTGATAATTAATGTATGATGTAAATTATTACTCCCTCTGATGGCTCCTCTTCACAATCGGCCATGATGGGCAATTATAGAAACTCACGGTAGCGTAGAGGGCATAAATGTGTGTGATCGGCCATCATCGCGTGTGATCGTGCGCAACCGGCGTCGCGTCGTATCGGTAGATCAAAGGAATTATGGCCCATGATTGTGTGAGCGTCCACACCATCGGCGATTAGTCAGGATGTAGTTGTCTCGAGTGTGTGTCAATTGTGTCGACTACAAAACTATGGTTGCGTGGACCTTGTTTTGTTCCGATTGATAGCCACCCCACCCACCCCCTTCTCTTCCTCCATCTTGTTTATCGATAACGGTAAGCAGCAGCTTGGCTCTGCTCCTAGCATTGCTGAAGTCCATGGGTGACGGTAACCTCTCATCATCAGGTGGACCGTATGCACGTCTGTCTACAAGGGGGATTTAAGAAAAAAAAAGTTTTCACGATTCTTTTTTCGCGCACATTAACTAAATGACTACCTATATGAGCTAACTAAAAATATTGCCGCAGCCGCGATCTCCCGATTTCCATCATCGATACTTAGACGTCCATATCAGTAGACAGTCAGTAAATGAACGTTCACGATTGTATGGAGAGTTGCCCGATCATGGCGGCGATGATAGACGATCGTTTGTTGGCCTATCATGGCCGATTGTGAAGAGGAACCATGACACTACATGACGGTCACAACCACTCTGTCAAGAGTGAAACGTTTAAGAAGAAAGAAAATCTGAGCAGAAAAAAAATGTTTGTTTTTTATTAGTAGAAAACGATTTGAAAAAATTTAACAAATTTACACATACAAAGACACTAAAATATGATTTTTTTCGCCTAAGAGTAACGAACTAAAGAACTAAGAAACTAAAACCCAGGCTTCAAACAAAAGATAAAGGATTTGCATGTAGTACATATGTATTACATTCCCTTTGTCTGCCTACATGGATACCATCATAGCCTCAACCAATGTCAAACGTCAAAATCGGTCAAAAACTACAAAAACGAATAAACATTAGATTTTAGAATTAAATTGCGAAGCGTAATGATACGGTTGATCTGGCTTTTTTAAAATTTTGATAAAGTTTTTGGCTAACGAAACTAAGAAGATTCACGCTAATTGCAAGAGTGCTTACCGCATTAGTGTTAATTATTAAGGTTGTGATATTTTATAAATTCGAAGTTCTTCATTCGTACGTTGTTAATAACGTAACTTTTGATATTGCTTCTTTTTGATCGTTATAAAATGATTATACATTTTATTCATTTATTTTCGTCCTCATTATCAGATTTCTTTCAGTATGATAAGGTTATATAAATAAAAACTAATACAAAAAATTGACAAATAAGCGAAATAATGTAATCAAATAGATTCATGAAAATAACCTTTGTACTTTTGTTAAAATTAAAATGAATTATATCATATTAAGTTTTTCTGTAATAGTGTTGTTAGTATCAGTAACAGTTTCATATATAGTGATATTCCATCCAGGTGGGTTGTGACATGAATTTTAAATATATTCATTGTAATAGGTGCAGACTAGATTCATTCTGTGACTATTTATTACACCTGATATCTAACATCTAATCGTGTATCAATGTAAAAGTTTTCACATCAAGTTGGTCAAGGAATCATAATTTACTATTATGATTTGCTGTTTGTATGGACATCAGTAATATCTTACATTTAACACGCTATTTTGTGCTTAAGGTGTTTGTTGAATATTACATTTGGTATTGAACAAAACATTAAAATACATATCGTAATAATAATATTTAAGATAGTATATTTAGAAAATATAATAATGTAGAAGCTAGTAATATCTTAACTATTTTATATGTATAAATCCTGTTTTCATTTTTAGCTAGAGTAATGGCACATAATGGCCTCTTGTTTGTATCAAATGCTGCAAAAGCACACATTGCCTGTATGAAGGCAGCTAAGTATGTGCGGAATGTTATGTATGTGAAGATTAAAATAAATGCTGAGAATTCTTCACAAGTGATCAGTAGACAAATTGTAAACATTTATACAAAGGTAAGAAGATCTCTGTAATGTTATTTACTTTAGTTGTGAAAGATTTTCCACTATCAAAAACAAGAAAGTTCTGGTTTTGCTATAATGTATAAAGCACTGATAAAGTTGTTGAACGGGTTTGTTTGAGATTAATATGCAAAAGAATAAACTATACTTTTGCATGCCTGCAATATTCATGAGGAATTTTATAAAAAAAAGATCAAACACCTGTATACTCTTATATGAGTCGTCTATTATCAAAGGCGGCAATCTGTGCATTTGGACAAAAAAAATTTATTGATATGTCAATACAGATTTATTTGAATATAATCGTCTCCTTCAAAGAATACGGTTCAAAACCTGCATTAAATAAAGGTTAATAGTTAACCTGTTATTTATCTAAGATGTCGTTCCGAAGAGTTTTGTTACTGCCAATGGAATACAAAGTCAATAATTCGTTTTTCTGATTTACCAATCATTGTCCAAAAGTCAGATTGCCGCCTTTGATAATAGTCGACTCATATAAAATATAGGTTCAGGTTTTATTACCATATCTACCAGTTTAAAACTATTTACTCGTGTCAAAGAAATCATTAGGAATTACGAAACAATACTTATAGAGAATCATATAAAACAGATTTCTGTTCCAGAATTATTTTAAAATAGTAATGTTAGTAGCTATCAATTCTTATTAATATCATTGATAATGTTTTATGAAACTTAAGATTGTTAACAGATATTATAGAGCTGTGCTTATTTTTTCATTATTGGGCATCAAACATTGCAGAAAATAAAAGATAGTTGCAATACTACTATATTACACCATATTAATTATAATATTGAGGTTGTATAGGTGTCTTACCTGCAATTATTAATGTATGTGAATGTCTTATCATTGTAAAGTACTTAGACTTATTTGAGTAAAATATTAGCTACATTGTCTAAATATAAAATCAATTATTGAATAAATACTTGATATCTCTCTTTCTCTACCAGGCTCAAACCAATATAGACATAAGGTTAATGGTGAAACCATATGAAAAAAGTAAGGATATTATCACACGTCAACCAATTGATTTGATTATGTATGACAGTGAATCAGCTAAAGAAGTCGAAGTTTTGAGAAAGTCAGTGAAGTCTCTGGACAGAGGATACAGATTGCAGAATATAGGTGTGTATTCTTATTGTCTTTCTATTTGATATGATTGTGCCAGATCATATTTTTTTAATCTATTTGTTAATTTATTTTTATTTTATTTTTGTTGCCATGTGACCCATGTGTTGCAGCAGGTACCGTTGCTCATGGACATCAGTAATAGCAAGTCAGTCACCGTCGGGTATTAAAGACTCTTCAAACCTTGTTTTAAGATGTATCTGTGATATTAATCATATTTTAAAATAACAAAAAAAACTATGTATTGTTTTTATAAATCAATATTGCGACATATTTTTTATTATTTTAGACACCAGTGACTCACCAATAGAGAATAATGTCAATGAAGAAGTAAAGGCGTATGAGTATGTTGCTCTGGGAGGGACATTTGACCGACTGCATAATGGACACAAGATATTGCTGTCACAAGCTGTGCTGCGCTCCACTAGGCATGTCACGGTGGGCGTCACTGATGTTAATATGATTCAGTGTAAGATTTTAGAACTTAATTGTTCAACGAAGTAGGTTCTCAAAATATTAATCTAAAAAAGTCCTAATGTATATATTTTATTCATTATCAATTGATGTTTGATAAGCAATATGAAATATATATTTATATATGTATATAAACTGACAACCTATCGAGGTTTGCGGGGATCCGCTAAATGCAAGCCTGCGCACTACTGATCTTTGTGGTGAGGCTTGGGGGAGGCTTATGTCCAGCCGTGGACTGGACTGGACTCAATATCATCATCTTTAAATCTTCTATATACAATAAATAATAAATACAAATATTTTATAGTCAGTTTTCTGTTTATTGCGGATAAAATAGCAAAAAATACTTGGATTATCAGCGTTACAATGTTAAACAGAGGTCAATGTAATATGACGGATTTTCTGCATGCTTGGCATTGCTGCAACCCACATTCACCACCGTTTTTTGTAACTTCCCAAAGTAACTTGATTCTTAAAGTAGTTTTTTAAAGTTCTTCGATTTGTTTTATTGCCAAGATATTTAGTGCCAAGATTCGAAATAAAAATTAAATCTATTTTTTTAGCCAAGAAGCTTTGGGAATTGATTGAACCAGTTGAAAAAAGGATTGAAACTGTTCTACAATTTCTAAACGATATAAATCCAGAATTGGAATACAATGTTTTTCCGCTGAAAGATCTTTATGGACCTACAAAAGATGATCCCAAATTTCAGGTTTGATTAGTATAATTTTTTTTATTGCCATTGTAAGCAAACAATTTTATGGTCCACCTGAATGTTAGTAGCCACTATCGCCTTTGGACATTGACGATAGCAAAGGTCACAGCCAAGCCTCTGGCTATTACCGACTACTACTGCTGCCTAATTAATAAGTATGTATTTTAGTATTTCATTTTATTATTTCTGACTAATGCAAAAGAACTTCATAATATGATAATCTCTTTCAACTTTTTTACACATGAATACATGTAATGTAAATGTGTGTTGATTAATTTAATTGTAATAAAATGAATTAAAAATCGCGCTACATCAAATACAATACGCGATTTTGAGTTTTATGAGTTCCTCGGGCATTATTTGTGGAGAGCATTTTACTACAAAAAATTTGATGGAAAATTATACAAATTGTACTTTAACGCCATTATTCTTCTTCTATATCGTTCCCTCACTACTGAGGATCGCGACCACATGCGACGTACTTCCAATGTGCTCGATAATGGGCGGCATGGACTGCATGGTACAGACTACCACCGAGTGCTTCTCTTGCTAGATCTGACCATCTGGCTGGTGTTCTGCCCACGGCGCGCTTGCCCTCTATGCGACCTGTATTTATGAGCTTAATTTAATTTAATTTAATTACAGTTAATAGTTGTTAGCGAAGAGACCGTCCGAGGTGCAGTGAAAATCAATGAAAAACGTAATGAGAAAAACTTAAATAAATTAGACACGTACGTCATAGAATTGGCGCAGGATTCGCATCCGGGAAGACATCACGAGGAAGAAGACAAAGTCAGCTCGAGTAATCAGAGAATGAGATTGTTGGGTACTCTACTCAGACCTCCCAGGGTGAGTACTCTATAATATTAACATTTTCCATTCACTTGTAATAATAATATTTATAATAAAAGCAGGAGTCGCACATGCTCACTTAGCCCCAAATTAGGAGTCTCTGCACTATGAGTATTGAGACTAATATATTTATATGACATATTTTAAATGTGTCCATGTTAAACACCCGAAAAAAGAACAAACATAGATTTTTCTCACACAATTTTTACCAGATGTGGGAATCGAACGCGCGACCCTCGTCAGTCCAATAGTCCTTAACTACTGCACCACCAAGTCAGTAATAAAATATATAATAGATATTCCATAAATGTTTATTACTTGTATTGTTTCAACATGTTCTGTTGAAATTGCGATAAAAATTTTGGTTTCATAAAAATGTACCATAATAAATCTATATCTATATCTATACTAATATTATAAAGAAGAAAGATTTGTTTGTTTGTTTGTTTCGAATAGGCTCCGAAACTACTGGACCGATTTGAAAAATTCTTTTTCCATTAGAAGCCGACATTGTCCCTGATGAACATAGGCTACTTTTTTTTATATTTTTTTTATTTTTATTTTTTGGTTTCATGTGTGTTTTAATGTTTCCGAAGCGAAGCGAGGGCGGGTCGCTAGTAAGAAATAACATAACAAAATAATACACCGATTGTACGACCCGGCTCACTGGTTCTCATATAAATGATTATTTGGTATAAATGATATTTTATGATCTTGGCCCAATATTATGTAAAGGTTAAATTTGTTTGCCTGTATGTAGAGGATAATCTTTGTGACTCTACATGATGAATTAACAAAAAATATATCACTGATAGAAAAACCTGAATTACATCTTGTATTATTAGAATATAATGAACTAGTGAACAAGTAGGAAGTACGATGCTATCGTCGCAAATTGAACGGATTGTAACCAAAGTAACAACATGTTATATAATTATTTGTACGCAAATAAGGTTTACATTGAATTTTTATATATTTGGAAATCGATTACACCTTAGAACAACAACAACTAAGACCATATTTTGTTTTGATATAATAATTCCCTATTTATTCCAGCCCAATCCAAATATACCGGATTGGCCGTACGTGATCGGTTTGGCGGGCGGCATCGCCAGCGGCAAGAGTAATATTGCGGAAAAACTCAAGTAATTTTTGAATGTATTATTGAAAACGACTCTTTTTTTTTCTTTATTGCTTCGATAGGTGGACGAGCTCACAGCCCACCTGGAGTTAAGTGGTTACTGGAGCCCATAGACATCGACAACGTAAATGCGCCACCCACCTTGAGATATAAGTTCTATGTCTCAAGTATAGTTACAACGGCTGCCCCACCCTTCAAACCGAAACGCATTACTGCTTCACGGCAGAAATAATCACGGTGGTACCTGCCCTCGCGGACTCACAAGAGGTCCTACCACCACTCGCACGCCATCTGTTGCACGTTAATCGTACTATAACGAAAACTCTCCCTGGAGTGCCAACAACTCTGTACTAAGTCTCATCACAATCGAACGATGGTTTAGGAATGCTTAAAGGATAAACACACATAACCTATAAAGTAGAACAGAAAATAATTGACATTATCTCGCTAGGAAATCGCAGTACATTATTCATATTCATACATGTTTGAATTGGAGTAAAATTTTACGAACACTCACACACATCAATCTCACTACGAATCTCAGGAATGAATTGGCAAACTAGGATACTGCATAGGACTAGATTGAAGAGATACAAATTCAGATTTTTAGAAATATTTATTGCTGATCCGACGCTAATTTGTATAAATATGATGATAGATAAGTACCTTCGTGTGTGCCACAAGAAAAAACAATTGGGCTTATTTGTATCTTTTTTAGGTACTTTGTTCATAAGAAAATACAACAATACAATAATTTGGTATAAATGTACACAGCTAATAAGCGAGTTTACGGTAGTGACCAATACATATATGGTATCATTATTTTTCTGAATCGCCTTATGATTATGTTACATAATTATGATCAAAATTAAGTTTCAATATGTTATTTGTGGTAGCTATCATAACATTCATAACTAGTGTAAGTGCTGAAGGTGCGGCCATTAAGCTTAAATTTATTTATTTATAACTTTATATACTAGACACTAGACAATATAAAGGCGGACTTAATGCTATAGGCATTCTCTGACAGTCTACGTTAGGGGGGTGCAGGGATGAACCTTGATAGGTGTAGTGTGATAGTGATATTACTTAAACATGTATATATATATAGCATAAATAATATTTATAGATACAAATACTCGTACTTAAATAAATCAGATAATTAGTAATAAATTTAATGTAAGAGAAACTCAGTGTCTAACTAACTATATACTACTATATACAAACAGCACATATACTTTTGAAAGGAACAAGAAACGCTAACTTTTAATTTAATTTTTGTTTTTGTTTAAAAGGTTTATGTTTTAAATTGAAATACGTGAAACGCTGTGTAAATAATTTGATGTTCAAATCTCTTAACTTATCTATTTCAGATCAAAAGGTGCGGCGATAATAAACTGTGATATAATAGCCCACGAGCTCTACAAGCCGGGGTTGCCGCTCAACACGACTATAGCGCAAAGCTTCGGTGACCACGTCATCACATCCGACGGCGAAGTGGACAGGAGGAAGCTGGGTCAGATTGTTTTTAGTGATAAGGTAAGACTTTAGTTATGAAACACTCACGAACGTACAATCATTTTCTTTATTAAACAACACTTGAATCGACTATTATCAAAGCCGGCAATCTGACTTTTGGACAATGATTGGTAAATCAGAAAAACGAATTATTGACTTTGTATTCCATCGGCAGTCAGAAAACTCTTCGGAACGACATCTTAGATAAATAACAGGTTAACTATTAACCTTTATTTAATGCAGGTTTTGAACCGTATTCTTTGAAGGAGACGATTATATTCAAATCAATCTGTATTGACATATCAATAAAAAATTTTTGTCCAAATGCACAGATTGCCACCTTTGATAATAGACGACTCACTTAATCTAATTCAATTTTTTCCTATACAGCAATACATCTTTGTTATGTTTCATTGAACGTTTTATAGGCAAAAAATCAGTGCATTTACACCACTTTATAATATTGACTCGCGGCTGGTAGAAGTAGGAAAAAGCCTTACCTAAACTTTTTTGAACATTCTCAGTGGTGGAATGTGTTAGAAGCATGAATGAGGGCATTAAACCACTTAATTCACAATTTCAGAGTCAGCTACAAAAGTTGAATGAACTAGTATGGCCGGCAGTAATCGAAGAGACGCAGAGGAGAGTCGTGGCTCTCGGCAAACAAGGATATAAGGTGGTGGTGATGGAAGCGGCTGTGATGGTGCGAGCTAAGTGGTACGAAAGATGTCATCAGCTATGGGCGGTGATCATACCGCCGGATGAGGTAAGCTTGTCGACTAAATGTCAGAATGTTGAAATTTGTTGTTTAAAATATGTATAAGATTTTAAAAAATAATACGAAATTGTCGTTCCGTTTCACTAAAACACAATTTGTACAATTATATATTAAACTAGCGACCCGCCCTCGCTTCGCTTTGGATACATTAAATTTTATTATTGTTAGCTGAGTCCCACGATGTTACCCGCGTTTATTGTCGTACCGCGAGTGACGCCGCGGGGCGAAGCTAGTCTAAAAAAGTAGCCTAAGCTACTCCTTATATCCTCAGCTACCTATCAGTGAAAGCCTTGTCAAAATCGCTCCAGCCATTCACGAGATTATCCGGAACAAACAGACAGACAAAAATTGTAACAAATGTTATTTTGTATGTACCGTATAAATATGTTCATATGCATGTAGTAAAAAGCGGTTATTTCAATATTACAAACAGACAAACCATTTTTATTTATATGTAATAGATTATATAGATAGGCAGCGGCTTGGCTCTGTTCCTGGCATTGCTGACGTCCATGAGTGACGGTAACCGCTTACCATCAGGTGGGCCGTATGCTCGTCTGCCTTCAAAGGCAATAAAAATAATAATAATAATTTTAGTGTAAGTCGACAATTATAAGTAAGTACTCTTTTCAGGCCATAAAAAGGCTGCAAAAACGCAATGGACTGACCGAAGAAGAAGCGAGACAGCGTATAGAGGCCCAACCCTCGAATTCGGAACAAGTGGCTCACGCCAATATAGTGTTCAGTCCGTTCTGGAGCTACGAATATACGCAATCGCAAATCGATAGAGCATGGCAACAATTAAATGAATACCTGGACAACAAGAAGTGATGAAGCGGCCCTAAAAAATAAATACATAGTTAGTGAATTTGTAGTATTTAAGGACTAATTTGAAATAGTTATGTTTAAATAATAAAAAATGTTGCATGTGCAATTTGGTGCACGTAAAAGAAGTGAAACTTCTTTTGCGGTGTGTAATATTGTGGCTTTCTTCATTTTTCATCCGTAATTCAAATTTCTCTTGTAATAGGGAATGCTGTGTATAAGATAAACCTAGCTCGCTTTGTCTTTTCTCTCTCCACGGTCGAGTGGTTCGCGAGAGACCCTGTATATTTTCTCACTCTCGCTCTTCCTAAATTGCATCTTTTCTCTCTAACCGCAACGAATCTGTCGGCAGTTAAATTTTACTCTCAACGCGCCTAAAGAAGTTTCACTTCAATAATGCCTTTATTTAAATTCCGAAAGTTTTTATTATTGGTACATTTAATTTTGTTATAATTGAAATGTTTAAACAGAAATTCCTGTTCATTCCACAGAATGTAAAGGAATATGTTTGATGTGTTTTTTTAATCATGCTATTATAGATTATTGCTTAGATAAGCGTATATAATGTTTAATCGTTGTGAAAGAAATAAAATAATTATATTTTGTTACATATATTGTTTTAATGTCTTTTCTATATAATTGATATTAGCCAGTATACGCTGTAATCATAAAACGATCATTTTTGTTCACTTACGAAAAGTATAATTTTACCTAAAGATATGATCTGTTCATATGCTTGATTTGATTGAAGACAAAATATGAAGCTTTCCACTGTTATTAGTATTTTATCGGTCACACAATGAAGAGCCTAACCGTTTTGCTTGTAATCAATTTAAGCTCTTGTATTTATGGAAATGTTTTTTTTAATTACTCGTTAAACAACGATGAGATTGTTTATGATTTTGTTGTGAGTTTTAAAAATGTTGAATCAAAATAACTTTTGGAAATTTATAAATAGCCTAAAAAAATTTATTTCATAAAATTTTCAGGCTGATATTGCGATCGTGAATCGTCGAAACAACGACTGGAATAATGTCCTTTGTATCGGTCATTTGCCTGATCGTTTCTATAATAAGATCCAAAGGATGAAATTCACACACGCAGTGACAAACGTGGATTACAATGATCACGAAACAGAAGAAGACGCCCCGAGTTATTCGAATACAATCGTCATAGATTGTCATAACATGACCCATTTTGAAATGTCAGTTAAGAAAATTCTGAAGAACCCGTACTGGCATCCTCACGCTAACATTATAGTTTATTATCGCGAAAAAGATAATATGTTGGACGTTGCGAAAATATTCTTTATTCTCTGGTTTTACAAAGCCTGCAATATAGTTATCGCACAATTTGATCGCGATGATAACTCATTCTTTGTCCACAATTTCAGTCCGTTCATAAGCGAAAAATACACACTACAAAGACACTTCGGTTGTTGGAAAGTAAAGTATTTAGGTTCGCCGGTTCGAAGTTTTAAAACGTCATTCGAATGTGAGGAAACTTGCGACAATGTTACTCTACATTCCGCGTATCGAGCAAACAATTTAGGTACATGCTTGGGAATCGATACTCTAAAGTTATCGTTCTTTGAGCGGCAACACATCAAACAGGTTAATTTGTTTGAAGACAAAGGCTCAAATTTGCACGGCTACACACTCAGAACCTATACAGTTGAAGTACCACCCTTTATGATGATCGATGAACACGAAAACGGCACTTTTACAATTGGTGGTCGAGATGGAAGCATCTGGAACTTGCTATCCAAACTTATGAACTTTTCCATTGATCTGTCTCCTAGTGTCGATGACATGAAAAAACCGTTTAATTTCGAGTTAACTATTCAACAAGTATTCTCTTACACTCTTCGGAAAGGTGATTTGTATCTGATTCCTATTTATCAGTTCGATATACCTGTAATACAAGTTGATAATACGTTTCCTGTAAAAGATAGCGGTGTTTGCTTCGCCGCACACCGAGCTAAATTTTCGAAGATTACTTATGATATAAACCTTTTCTTTGAAAACTACGTTTTTCTGTTGCAATTTTTCTTTTGCTTCTTGAGCGTTTGGTTTACTTTTGTTTTGTTTAGTGCCATAGAAAGAAGAGAATTGCGTTTCGACCAAATAGGAAAGGATTATTTGAATTGCCTGAGGAATATTCTTTTGATAAGTCTATACAAGCCACCGCAGCTCTGGTCCTTTCGCGTTTTCCTAACGATATCTATTTGGAGCTTCTTTATATTGAGTTTTGCTTCTCAGGCCGCTATTATTTCGTTCTTCACGGCACTTAAAAGAGGTAAAGAGGTCAATACTTTCGAGGACATAATTGAAAAAGGTTATCCGATTGAGGGCATGGCTTCTCCAGACGTTGTTCTTCCAGATACAGAAGAAAAGTTTCAAAAAATTAATTCAAAAATTGTTCCTATTCTCGATATATATGGCTGTATTCAACGCATGAATAACGAAACCCATCTTTTTTGTCTGATCGACTGCGCAATAGGGCGTTATTTGGAAAGAAATCTATTAAATGAATACGGAGAGCAGTATCTACACATACCAAAGGATAGAATTCATAGTTATTATTTAAATATCATATTCCCGAAACATTCCGTGCTGACTGAACGATATAATAAGTACATGATGATATTTATTGAAGCGGGTCTCGTCCACAAGTGGGAACAATATAAATTCAATCAAATAAAAACGGAAGGGATTGTTAAACCTCTTAACATGCAAGATTTTAAAGGTATTTTAACTCAACTTATATTCAACGCAGGATTAAGTACTGTAACTTTTTTTATAGAACTGCTGTTGAAAAAATTGTCAAACAGTAGACGTATGCTAACATGTTTTAAAATGAAATAGCAAACGAAAAGCCACACACCCACAATTTTGACTGTCGAAATTTAGTTGTTGCGTAATAATAAATGATCAATAATAAGTTTTGTTTTATTTCATTACGATCACAAAAGGTGAGAAAAAACGATGTGATGAAATTATTTGAAGGTCTGTATGATGTATCTTTTCACAAATTGTTCATAATTTATCAATCAACTCATCGTGTCTCAATTATATCATCGTAGTTTAACAAGGACAGGTGGGCTAATGGTCAGCAAAACTAGACACTTTAATCATAACGGTGAATGGTAATATTCTTGCATAGGTAGAAAAAACAAAGAAAATAAAAAACCAGAGGTAAGTTTTAAAAAGGGTAGGTAGTCCTAAAATATATTGTTTTGATAATGAAATTATTTTTTCTGTTTTTGAGAGTCACAGACATAATTAAAACTTATTTTACCAACATCCGTATCTTCCAATAATAGCATTAAATTTATTGTTATGCAGTAGTTATAAATATAATTGCGACTTCGGCCTCAGTCAAACTAGGTGGTTGATCGCACTTTATACCGTTTGTGGATTGTGGGATCTGGCAAGCACTTTAATCGAGATGGACCTCAGGTCATTGAACTAACTTCTAGTGTGGCAACTACTTGACGTAACTTACAAGTAAAAGAATACGTACAGAGTTTAAAATCATGAGGATTGTTTTAGAGTATAAGGATCAGAAACGTATACACAGTGACCCTTTATCTTCTTCACTAGACAAAATTATTAAGAAAACTCTATAGTCTCAATGGCGTCCATCTGTTTAGAAAAAAAATGTCTATGGGTAATTCATGGCGGAAAAGACAACTAACATTGGGCCACAATAAAATGAAATTTACACTTTAAACATAATCCAGTCCTCTAATTCAATTTGTTTTAATGGGAAATTCGTATAATAAGAATAGTCAGTACAAAAACCAAAAGATTTCCACATATGCAGATCGTGAAGGGCAGGTTTTAACTAGTCAGGTAAGCAATGAAAACTTGCTAATGTCATTCTCAGCTGAACTCACGTAATATTTTGTATATAAAAACAATGAGTAACCTAAATTGTCTTTGTGCTATTTTGTTGTATGTGCGCATGTCGGGCAGGACGCAAATTCTTGTGCTTTGACATTTCTTTGTTGTATCAGGGGGCTTTGTTTTTGTTGTGCAGTTCAGTTTATCCCATTTTGTGGGCAACTTGAGTGGACGTTCCTTCGTTAGTGTAACCAGTAACCAGTCTGTGTACAGCGCATCTCGGCCTTGGTCTCGCGTGTCTCGACGCAGGTGAGTATTCTTCATCACTCTTCATCATCATTGCATCATGTTTTATATTTTTTAAATTACACATGGTGTTTTTTGCATCTGTTTTTAATCGTCAAACAAAAATATATAAACATAGACTTTTATAACGTCATATCTACTACCTATCTAATACTACTGAAATCACCATGCATCATTTTTAATGTAATGGGTGTATAGAAAGTTTCATTAATTCATTTACAAATTAAAAGTTAGCAGAGGACTTCTTAAAGAATTAAGAAAAACTAAGAAGATTTTCGTACATTTTTTTTATTTACTCATTTTAAATATAGAATAGAAAAAAGAACATCTTGAAAACATTTAAAAATCAATTGTAAAGTTATTGTATATAAAAATAGCAATTGATTATTTCAGATGGAATGATTCAACTCTAAAAAATCCTCTTGAGGCAAGCAAAACTGCTTGGCCGGTTGCTCACAAAGAGTCCATATTTCTACCTGAATTCCCCATCAAAACTGATTTACTTCAAAAGGACTTTCAAATACAACACACAATAGCCAAGGGTGCCTTTGGAGATGTGTACAAAGTGAAGAAAGTCAGTGAAAACAAAGAATATGCCCTGAAAGTCCTTAGTAAAGCTAAGGTATGATTTATTCATTAAATTCTGTATTAACTTCCATTTCAAGAGAAGTATTTCAGTGGATAAAATTTCTGTCAAACCTAATGAAACTGCTAATAATTACCAATAGTGTAGGCTGCATGGCTGAAAATCACCATTTTGTTGAGTAATGCCAAGATGCTGACTTACATTTTGTTTTCCAGGGATAAGTGTTACTTATAATAACAGACTTCAATTTTATGTCCTAAATTAAGTCTGGTACATCACTCCTAATTATCACACTAATTAATTAGCTCATTTTTTATATCTTAGGTGTGTGGAGGAGCTGCCTGATGTTAAGTGGTTACCAGAGCCCATAAACGTCTAGAACGTAAATGCCACCACCTACCTTGAGATATGAGTTCTAAGGTCTCTGTTTTCACAGTAGAACGACTGCCCCATCCTTTGAGCCGAAATGCATAACTTCTTTATGTTAGAAATAAGCAGGGTGGTGGTACCTACCCACGCGGACTCTCAAGACATCCTACCACCAGTAAATCATCCCGATATATTGTCCTGCCCCCAGTAAACCATATTTATAAAAAGTTTTAATTGTTTGAACAACTACACAATGTCTGGAATTACCTTTAAAAATAGGTTGTAGTTATCAAATGGTGTACAGATTTCTTTAAAGATACTTCTCACTTAACTATAATGTGCATTTGAAGTAATTTTAATTAGTTGACCATTAATCATCAAATAATGACCAATATTAATAAACAATTTGACAAAATAATAACTTAATGAATTGGCATTATACAGGTCCTAAATTTATGAAATTTAACATTGTTATTAATATTGTGCTTTCTTTGATCGTTCAAAATATAATTATTAATTATAATTATATAATTAATTTCAGTCGGAAAAAAACTTACTTATTTTAGGTTAATGTACTCCAGGACCAATATTTTCTAGTACTGTACTACACTAAATGAAGCCATTGACAGAACTACATTATGCCACCTCTTTGAAACAAGAGTTTGAAGTCTTAATCAGATGATATTGCAATTTTGTAGTATTCAAAATAAATGACAGAGCTGTGTATAAAATCCTAGTCAAGTTCATATTTTTTTTTGTAAAAATATGAACTAGATACATCTGTTGAGAAACAGTTATATATTTTTGCAGTTGCAGGATAGGACCGCTTAATTCAATACAGTTGAGAGTTTAACCTAATATCTAATATATGTTTAAAGTGAGGTAGTTATAATGTAGTGTTCTATGGGCACCATTAACCACTTATCATTTAGATGATCAGTAGTTCAAAAGAATTTTCTCAGACCACAAGTAGTCTTTTATTGGGAACAGTTATTTCATATTGTTCTTTTTTAAAGTCTTATAATATAGGTCAATACTTTTTATAACATTTCATCAACCATGTTCATAATGTATATATGTATGTTCAAGTACTTATTAATTTACACTTTCAGATCGTAAATGAGAATGCAGTTCGTCAAGTGAAAGAAGAAGCTAAAATACAGACTGCCTGTGGTCACCATTCATTCATAGTTGGTGCAGCATCTCGTTGGCAAACTAAGAAGAGAATATACATTGGTAAGTAACATATTAATACAAAAGCTGCTGGAGAAATCTATTTTAATGAATCAGAGGGCTGTTTGTGTTCATATCTTATTATTTTTTGAGTCTGTTGAGACTGCAAGTAATTGCCTGACAATTTGACCCTTGACTTTTTTTGTCATCTGCTCCTGTCTCTGTTGATATGAGTGACAGAAATTTCATACCGTTGGGTATACTTTTGTCAATAACATCAAGAATCAATTTAATTAATTATATTGGTGATTTTAACCATCAAGGATGAACCCAAAGTGGTCAATGTAATTATTTATTTATTAAATATATTAAATGAGAGACATCTTCTCTTCCCTATGGCCCATGATTAAAGTATTAAGGGTAAAGACGCTCAACTTCCAGTATCTGCTCTCTCTCTCTCTCTCTCTTGGTAAATGGACTCGACAGTCTAGAATCATCATTTTAAAATTTTAATTATGAAATAACACAAGTCACTTGTATACATAAATTAAACTCACGGGAATACATGTCGCCAAGAAGTATGTAAACACGGATATGTAACATTGTGTTTAAATTATATAAAGATAATGTAATCGTATTAATGTGTTCATTGTTGCAATTAATATTCTAGTTGTCATTGTTTCCTTCTGAAACGTTCGTGGCTTAATCCGGAAGACGCCTGTTTTCACGTAGTCATGCAATAATGTCTACGATCGTCTTGAATAAGGCTTTAGTGATGTGCTCATATTGACCGTTTAAAATGCGTAACACACTAAATAATCTGAATAGATTACTATTAAAATGATATACGCAAATAAACACGGAACGTGAGTCTCACACATTCGACGTGTGATATTCTTATCACTAGCCTCATTCGGAAGTCACGGTCGACGCCTATATGAATTGCATTGTTTGTTTACTAAAAATAAATACCTATTATATCACTTAGTATACTTACCTGTTCTTTCTATTCGGACTGATAGAGATATGATGATTTTGTTTTGAAAAGTCGACGTGGCCTAAAGGATAAGACGTCCGGTGCATTTGTATCTAGCGATGTAACGGTGTTCGAATCCCGCAGGCGGGTACCAATTTTTCTAATGAAATACGTACTTAACAAATGTTCACGATTGACTTCCACGGCGAAGGAATAACATCGTGTAATAAAAATTAAACCCACAAAATTATAATTTGCGTGATTACTGGTGGTAGGACCTCTTGGGAGTCCGCACGGGTAGGTACCACCGCCCCGCCTATTTCCACCGTGAAGCAGTAATGCGTTTCGGTTCGAAGGGTGGGGTAGCCGTTGTAACTATACTGAGATCTTAGAGTCTCATTTACGTTGTAGATGTCTATGGGCTCCAGCAACCACTTAACACCAGGTGGGCTGTGAGCTCGTCCACCCATCTAAGCAATAAAAAAAAACTAACACATGTGTGACTGAAGGAAATGATTTCATTGTATTTCCTGAATATTTCACGAGTCCTGTGAGGAGACATAGTCTTGTAAATATATTGAAAGGAAGACAATTGTAAAGCATTCGAACATATTGGAATAGTAAAATGAGATTGAATAGTAAAATGTTCATTGCAACCACTAAGTCAGTTTGATTTCATTAAAAATATCCTCGAAATAATTCCGTTCATCAGAAGTCAACCAGCTTACCTGTTTGTGCCGTGAACAGGTAAAAGTTTTTCCAGGGCAGGATTGGATCCTGAATATAGAAATATGTATATTGTTTGAGAGAAACAAAACAAAAAAAATAATAATATTCGCCTTAAGTTTTGAGCCTTCAGCAGGTAAAAATCGTGGACTAATGTCCCTTCTGTTAAATTGTCGCTATAACATTCACTAGATAATAGTTAATACAAAAGAACCAAACGTTATTCAAACGAAATGTTTCTACATAAAGAAATACGTTTTTTTTTATCAGTAATGTGTGTATTGGTTAACTTTATCTTCTTAATTCACAGCCGTCTTGCGCAACGAGGTCGTTTATCCTTTTTGCGTTTTAAAGCGATTTTAATATTAACTCTCTTCGTGCTGAGCTTATTTTCACATATTTTGCAGAAATTGCTAAAGGATTTTTGAAAAAAAAAACGGAGTCTTACAATAAACTTTCAGTAAAAAAAAATACAAAAATCAGTGCCAAATTCACAGGAAATTAATTTTGAATGGTTATTTACAAATGTTGTTAACTTGTTAAAAGCTATATGTATATGCGTGTGCTAACACAAGTCCGTACAGATCCATCCTTCATACCCGATCCTGTAGACCGAATGGTAAACAGTCGACGTTGCACAAAACAAGTCATTACGGATCCTCCTGATCCATTAACGTCGTTGTCGGTTGCCGTCCTCGTCAAACACGTCGCTTGTGACGAAGGGCTCGACGAGTGAATTAACCCATACACAGCCCACTGAGTTTCTCGCCGAATCTTCTCAGTGGGTCGCGTTTCAGATCCGGTAGTAGATTCTGCGAAGCACTGCTCTTGCTAGGGCCAGTGTTAGCAACACCCGTGAGCTCACTATCGACTTGTAATTAAAAAATGGACCTAGAACGACCCTTTTTAGCGTATTTTAATAATCAAATGACCAAAATTGGCTTATAAAGGGATAACCTTATCCATCGGTATCTGTCAATCCGCCCCTTCCTCTACATCTTTTCGGCTTGAAAACTTTATTCGATGTTTTCCAAAAAACACATTTTTTGAGTTGAGTCTCTATAATTCTAAAGGACTTGTAGTCGTCGTGGCCTAACGGATAAGACGTCCGGTGCATTCGTGTGTAGCGATGCACCGGTGTTCGAATCCCGCAGGCGGGTACCAATTTTTCTAATGAAATACGTACCCAACAAATGTTCACGATTGACTTCCACGGTGAAGGAATAACATCGTGTAATAAAAATCAAACCCGCAAAATTATAATTTGCGTAATCACTGGTGGTAGGACCTCTTGGGAGTCCGCACGGGTAGGTACCACCACCCCGCCTATTTCCGCCGTGAAGCAGTAATGCGTTTCGGTTCGAAGGGTGGGGTAGCTATTGTAACTATACTTGAGACCTTAGAACTTATATCTCGAGGTGGGTGGCGNGGATAAGACGTCCGGTGCATTCGTGTGTAGCGATGCACCGGTGTTCGAATCCCGCAGGCGGGTACCAATTTTTCTAATGAAATACGTACCCAACAAATGTTCACGATTGACTTCCACGGTGAAGGAATAACATCGTGTAATAAAAATCAAACCCGCAAAATTATAATTTGCGTAATCACTGGTGGTAGGACCTCTTGGGAGTCCGCACGGGTAGGTACCACCACCCCGCCTATTTCCGCCGTGAAGCAGTAATGCGTTTCGGTTCGAAGGGTGGGGTAGCTATTGTAACTATACTTGAGACCTTAGAACTTATATCTCGAGGTGGGTGGCGCATTTACGCTGTAGATGTCTATGGGCTCCAGTAACCACTTAACACCAGGTGGGCTGTGAGCTCGTCCACCCATCTAAGCAATAAAAAAAGGTGCGACCTGCTCCTGGGCCTCGTCTCCGTCTGCTGCTTGTAATTCTCGATATAGCGTCTCCTTGTTTACTGGGCGTCCTACACTACGCTTACGTGCCCGCGGTCTCTACTTCAGAACTCGATTATCCCAACGCGCAACGGTTACTGTTTCTTCGACAGATATGACTAGCTCATTGCCACTTTAGCCTGCTTATGTGTTGAGCTATGTCGGTCCCTTAGAGCGACACCGATCATAGCTCTTTCCATCGTTCGCTGAGCGACTTGAAATTTTAGGAACATTCCTGCCGTAGGTATCCACATCTCGGTCCCTTAATAATAATATCGAATGAAAGAGATCTTCTTTGTTGACAACTAATGTTTGTGGTGAGTATGTATATACGGTAATAGCAACCTGAGATATTGATTTTTTGTTTTTGTCGAATCAATGTGTTTTTCATGACTTTTTTGTCGTAGTTAAGAGATCATGATTACACTATCTCCTTTTTTAACTATGGGCGTTATTAGTATATTACTAGCCGTACCGCTTCGCTGGGTATTTGAAATTAACATTATTATTTATTTTCATTATTATTAGGGAGTCCAACACCCATATAAATATTAGCCTATCCATTAAGTTCATGTATTTTCTACACGGATACCAAGTTTCAAGTCAATCAGATGCTATAACATATGCAAAATTCAGTAGTTATAACGTCCGTAACACATCCGTAACCGTTACATCCGTAAAAATCATAAAATTTATAATTATGTAGTATAGATTAGTATAGAGTATAGACTATATGGCGAAGATAATCTAAACAGTCTCTTTCATTTTCATAATACCTATGTCTTATTTGTTTCAGTTTCAGAATACATTCCTGGAGGTGAATTGCTGGGCTTGATAGAGAAGTATGGAAAGCTACCAGAGGAAATCGTGAAGATTTTTGTTGCTGAAATAGCTATTGCAATAGGTATGTTGATTACAGTAGTTATATAAAACACTAGCGGCCCGCTCCGGCTGCGCTCGGGTTTTTAACAAAAATTTCAACGATATTTGTCGTTGTTTTATTTTTTAAATAAAAGAACACTTATTGCGGAATAACTATAATAGTTAGACATATGCTGTCGCGATACTTTTGTAAATAATAATGTGTTCTACAAATTCGTAGTACATTATATTATTCTATCATCAATAGTTTTCGCAGAGCACGCGATGTAAAGAATATTTGGATTTGGAATATTGGAGTTTTAGTAAGGATCCCCAATTTTTTTCAAAAAAGATAGCCTATGTCACTCGGGAATAGTGTACCTTCCAAACAGGGAAAAATTTTTTCAAATCGTTTCAGTAGTTTCGGAGCCTATCCAATACAAACAAACAAATCTTTCCTCTTTATAATCTTATTATATATTATAAATTTATAATATTATATATTAAACATGAAACACGAATTATTCGAGACGATTTTCACGGGGCTTCCTGCTCATTATGTCACTGACGCTTCATAGGTCAAATGTGTGTTAACATTTGACAAACATTTGACATTTATTAAAAAAACAATAAGTTTAGTTTTTTTAACAGTAGCGTATTGTTCACACAGATTTTCTCCACAACGCCGGTGTGATATACCGCGATTTGAAGCCAGAAAACATTCTATTGGATGCTGATTGCCACATTCAACTCATTGACTTTGGCCTCTCGAAGTGGCTGTCTATAGGATCGCGTACGACCACGCTCTGTGGTACACTCAACTATATGGGTGAGTACTGCGTCTCATTCGGTAACGGGAAATATTACTTTGTAGTACTGGATGGTACGGACATTTATGTCTAGTAATTTTTTAGGTCTCGCTTCGCTTCGGAAACTGTATTTTATTATTGATTTCTCCATTATTTAATGGATGTTGTTATACATATAAACCTTCCTCTTCAATCACCCGTATCTATTAAAAAAACCCGCATCAAAATCCGTTGCGTAGTTTTAAAGATTTAAGTATACATAGGGATATAGGGATAGAAAAAGCGACTTTGTTTTATACTATGTAGTGATAGTGATGTGGACAATTCTTGCTAAATCGAGCAATAAATTTCGGTTCAACAATTACAGTAAGGAAATACAAAAAAAAACCAACTAAATTAGTAATTCTCCGTTACAGTGTGGAACTTGATACGTTCAAACTATAAAATGGCAAAGTGCATCGGTCGCTCCGTTTGCGTTTTCTCTATGGGAGTGTCGGGTGGGCAGTGACAGGACAAACCTTTAGTGATTATGTCGATAGTGATAACAAGTGAACCGGGGCCGGGACACTGACGGCGGGAACATGAACGCTCGGACCATCGCGTTCGAACTGTCGATGGAGGGGAGGCAGGTGGACGAGGTCGTCGCCAGCATCTTCCACACGGTGCTGTTCCACCGCTCCAGCGGCAAGTTCACTTACAACAGCGAGGAGAGCTACTCGATCCGGACTGTCAGTTATATCGATGTGGACTGCGATTTTATCGACTTCACGTACGTGTGTTGCGAGTCGGAACTGCTCGGGCGGAACGTGAAGCGCGAGATCGCGGACTTCTCCGAGCTGCTGCGGACTGTGGACGGCACGTCGGCGCCCCCGCGCGGCTCCATCAGCCTCGAGTTCTTCCAGAAGCGTCGGGCGCGCTGGCCCTTCCAGCCCGAGTGCGTGCCGTGGGAGGTCTGGACGGTGTTCTGCGAGATAGCGGAAGCACGCAACGAGCACGACATGCACGCCAAGCACGAGAACGTCGTCGAGATGCTGCAGGACAAGATCATGTACATCACCGAGATCATCAATCGTCACCAGTACGTACCCAAGATGCCGAGCCGGTCGGACGCGGATCTTATATTCGATACGTCGTACCCCGACATCCAGCCGTATCTATTCAAGATACATTACAATTTGTCGGGAGCTCCGCAGACCACTGTCGGTAATACGGTCCGTAAGATACTGCGGGAAACTCTGTCGTTGTGATTTCAAAACTTTAATCCATCTCTATTTTAAACAATGATGACATGATGATGTTTTACACCAATAGCATACTTTGGTTAACAATTAAAGATGTTACGTACGTTTTAAAAATATTAATTCACTGTTCGATGCTGAATTCTATTAATCTGAAACTTAATTTGAAACACCGAATTTAAAAAGGTATGTAAATTGCTACAAAAATTAGAGATACTTTTTTGTACGCTAGCTTTATTGTACTTAGAGCGCTAATTATATTTCTTAATATTTTTTTTGGCAATTTTGATATTATCCGCTGACTGTTATTTTCTATTGTATTTGCGTTTTATTATTTGGACGCNATGCTGAATTCTATTAATCTGAAACTTAATTTGAAACACCGAATTTAAAAAGGTATGTAAATTGCTACAAAAATTAGAGATACTTTTTTGTACGCTAGCTTTATTGTACTTAGAGCGCTAATTATATTTCTTAATATTTTTTTTGGCAATTTTGATATTATCCGCTGACTGTTATTTTCTATTGTATTTGCGTTTTATTATTTGGACGCGTGAATGACATAAATTTAAATATGATGAATAATTTTTTTATTCTGTGTTTTGTTTAGTGTTTAATTATATTTTAATATCAGAGTAAGTCCTCTGATGGCTGGTTAATGAGTCCATTCATTGTAACGAGTTGAGACTACGGTCTTATTTAGTTTTATGTCTTTATTTTATTAAGAACTAGACTAGCTAGAGTAATTTCGATTGTCAATGTTCTACAATGCAATTTGATTTTTAATATGTTTGTATTAATGTCGGTAGTAATTAGAGTGGATTTTATTTTTGTCAATGAGGAATTGCGTTAGCAGTACATATCGCAAGTGAAGCATGAAGTCGCATCTAGTTTTCGGAAAGTATGTTTTAATCTGAATCACGTAATATTTTTTTTCACTTTTCCTTGGGGTCTTGAACATACGTAAATATATAATAAAGCACCATTTTTTCGGTTGCAAGTCATCCAATTTATTTATTTTTGCTTTTTGTATTAACGATTTTTAGTAGTCGCTAAACCTTTTTTTTATTTATTGGAAATAGTTTTAACAAAAGAAAAATGTAGTACATAAAGGGATTCAAAATGTGAACAACAAAAGAGAGAATGCAGTACATAAAGGGAATGTAAATGTTGAGTTGTCTGTGACTATAGTTGAATTTCAATCACTAGCCTTAATATAGGTTAGTTGAAAATGATTGCTGTGACGGCTGATGCTCTGATGAGCAGATTACAAGTTAAATTGTTCAAATTAAAAAGTTCAAAGAAATCATGGCCATCTAGTATCTAATTTTGACATATAATGGAATATAATGGAAAAATTGCAACAGGTTCACAGTTTAGTTTCTGCACACGGCTGGTTGAGATATCTGTGTTTTTAGTTTGTTCACAAAGCATTTTTTTTTTCGATATTTCACTCCCATACACAATGTTTATGTTGAGAGGACGAGAGAAATATATTTTTGCGATGCAGCTCTTTGAAGTGTGTTTTTTTAGTAGCGTTTCCAGTTTCTTTGTGTTTATAGTAAGTAACATATGAACGACAATGATGCATGTATGAACAAAAGAAATAATAGATTTTTTAAATGAAGATCAACCATGATTAGTTTTACTTTCAAACAATACGGTTTTTGTGTGTGTGTGTGTGTTGTCGGAAAACATTATAATTATCAGGTTTCTATTTTCACACTATTATATATAATTTTATTCTAAATTATTTTAATACAGGGAACGTAAAATCACTGAGATATGAACAAGGTCGCAATTCATAACGTTTGTTTACTAAATAGTGACGTCACTAAATGGTGAACAAATTTAGAAAGTTTTCAATTTAAGCAATATTTAACGGAAACTTGTTTGTTTAAGATATAAGTTTACGTTAGTTACAAATTCATTATAAAAATAATTGACTAACATATACTTAATTTAAAATGTAAATATTATAAATTAACAGTTTGAAAGCTTTATCGGACTAACTAAAATAAATGTGATTTTAATTAATAACGTGTTAAATGTAAATAGTAAAAAAAAAAACTAACATACGGTGGACGGAATGATAATTTTAAGGTAATTTAGATTACAAAAACAACATTCTAATGATATTATACATTTTTTTACATTAAATTCTAAATTTTTATACGAAAATTGGTTGCACTACCTGGAGGACTAATACACGAAACTCGTTTTGATTTCATTTAGTTCGTTTTCTACGAATCTGTTTAGGAATTTAAAGTTAATTGTTAATTTTGGCTCGGTTATATACATATAGGGATTGTAAATTTTTTGGCATTGCACGATTTATTGATCAATATAAGAAATGTGTAGTTTTGTTTGTCCGTATGCTCAGATAGATTTTCATTAAGTCTTACTCGACCGAAGGGTCGAATAGGTGATTCTGTTAGTTTACGGACATTATTATTAGCGCGGGTTCATTGTAGTAGCCGTTGTAACTTTTTTTTATTGCCCCTGTAGACAGACGAGCATACGGCCGACCTGATGGTGAATGGTTACCGTCGCCCATGGACTTCAGCAATGCCAAGGGCAGAGCCAAGCTGCTGCCTACCGCTAAAACTCTCCACAAGCCTCGTTTGAAGAAGGACATGTCATAGCGCTCGAGAAACACTGTGGAGGGGAGCTCATTCCATAGCCGGATGTTACGTGGCAAAAAAGACCTCTGGAAACGCACTGTCGATGAACGCAGCGGTTCCAGATAATATGGATGAACTCTTGAACTATACTTGAGACCTTGTTAAGGTGGACGGCGCATGTACGTTGTAGATGTCTATGGGCTCCAGTAACCACTTAACACCAGGTGGGCCATGAGTTCGTCCTTCACCTAAGCAATAAAAAAAAAGTATTTCTTGTTTGTGATTTCAAATGGAGAGGTTTTACTATCTGTTTCGTAGATAAACAATTATAGTGCAGTTCGGTTTGCAATTTCACCTACAGTCATTTTCAAATTACCTTTACAAACTCCTTTAAGCTCTGCCCTGGTAATCGCTTGAGGACGAAAAAAAAAAAGGTTTTCAGCAACCAATTTTCGAATAAAATTTTAGATCTTGAATTGCGAATTAAATCGTTTGCGTGCATGATGAATGAAAAATTATTTTTATATTTTTTGTGTTTTCCTATGTGTGTAGCGTTTGCCGACGATTGAGATGAATATTAAATTTGAAGCGCTTACGGTAATTTCACGTTCGAAATACGCTAGTAAAATAGTAGCTTGATTTTAATATTATGTATATATTTATTTATGAACCGAATGACGTTCGTGATAAAGTCTCTTTTACGATGTTCGATTCGGATGTTTTTTTGCGTTGGATAGCGTTAACTGAATAGTCTAAAATGGATTTTTAATATTATACTTACACTGTAGAGCGTGTTAAATGATTGTTTAGTTCATTTTCTATTTCGCGACGTCTTTGTTTATTATTATTAGCCTGTTTATTAGTCTCATGTCGTAATGTTGTTTACGTGTTCGTTTATTTAGTCTTTTATCGTATAATTAATTCATCTACTATTTCAAGTCCCCTACCTCACTATGTGGCTAGATAGTAAGTTTGATTCCTGTTTCTTGAGCCCGCGCTCCATAAGGGTCGGTACGATTGACTTCATGAACGATACTTTGTACATTAATATCATCATAATCGGTTGCTCTTGGCAGAGCAGTCGTGGTCATGTGGAATTCTTGCTTATTAAAGCCTTGACTGATGTTTTCCACAGTTTGCGAACCGAGGCCCGGCGCACACACTCGTTAAGTGGGGTTAAGTTAAGTTAGTACATTAATATAACGACGGAAGAAAGCGAAATTTTCGTAACTTGAAAAGTCGTAACTTCCATAAAACTGTTTCAAAAATTCCTAATTCGTATTTTATTTATAGCGGTCGAGAGTTGAGAATTGATATGTATTTATATAATTTAAAGCCTATCTAGGTTTTTTTCAAGTTACGATAATTCCGTCCGTCCTTTTTTCCGTCGATAATAACTATGTAACACCCACACAAAGTACAAACAAATCTATTTATTACACGAACGTTTGTCTGACGCGGGAATCGAACTTATAAGCTTTTGATTTCAGTCTTGTGCACAAGCACCCTTCACATGCCCTCAAGGATGTATCAAACTATTGTTCATGCAGTCTCGTCAAGCCTGCCGTTCCATATGTAGCTGGCCTTAGGCGTATTTATTTTTTAAACTTTATATCAGATTGCCACCAAAGATAAGGTTGTAGGATAGAGAATTCGATACTGTTTCATATATTCATATTATGTCGTATTGTGTACGATCGAAACGAATATCTAAATACGTGAAAGTGAATGTTGTTTCTAAATTTTAACGAAAATCTGGTGACGTGACAATATATTTTATTGTGTTGTATTAAAATTTGATGTTGAGCATCTTTTTAGTAGTGTTAGGTTTAATGTATTATGTAGCGTCGCACACGATAAAGGCCTTATTCAAAATACGTTTGATATCATAATTCAGCTTGTAAAATAATGGCTGTTACACATTAAGTCTATATTATTATTATTATATTTTAAATGAAACTGAACGTATCTGTTGTGATGTAAAAGTTCAAAAAAATAAAAATAAAAAAATATGTTAGTCTTGTGATAATTATATATATAAGTGAATAAATGATGAAGTATTTTGTATTGTTTTATTTTGATTTGTTTGTTAATAGAAATTTAAAAATAACAGCAACATTCGGTGTTCCGGTATCCGTTTATTAGGCGTTGATTTTGCACTAGTTTATAATTCTTCTGATGATGAGCGCTCACTAGAAGCCCGCACATATCGTCTTTTCGCATTAAAAGTGTACAATTTCCAAAAATATTCGAAATTGAGTTAATCTGCGGAATCATTTGATATCATCAGTATTTTTCTCATAAATACTGTCAAAAGAGCATGTATTTAGTTTTAGTTTTTTTTTTAGTTTACTTATATTTTGACTACTATTAACAAAATTAAAATAAATGTTGCAAAGATGATTAATATTAAAAATATCACGTGTTAAACCTTTAAAACACTCCTGTAAAATTAGTAGGTTTTGAGATTGTACAGTTTTAATGCGAGAAGACGATGTGTATGTAGCTTTGTTGTGGCCTTAGCATTGCGGGTGTCCATGGATGACGGTGACTGCTTGTCATCGAGTGGCCCGGAAGCTTGTTTGCCAACAAAGGTAATAAACTAAAGAAGAAGCTTAATTGCATTGAAGTAACGGCAATTTTTTTTTATTGCTTAGATGAGTTGACGAGCTCACAGCCCACCTGTTGTTACTGGAGCCCATAGACATCTACGACGTAAATGCGCCACCCACCTTGAGATATAAGTTCTAAGGTCTCTAAGGCCTCTAAATTGGCAGTAGATACTTCCAGTAGATCATTGATTGATAGAAATTACATAGTTTGTAAGAAATAAGTGATTTCTCATTTAATAGCAAATAGCAACTTTATGTAACCACACGAAAAGTTGTTTTAGTTTATTTCAAGTTGTAATTACGTTTCATGTAGTATAAATATCTATGCGACTATTATCTATGCGAACACACAGTTGTAGGTAAAATGTCAGTTGTTTAAATAATTACCCTAAAAAAATAAAAAACATAAATACATTATGTTTAAATATAAATATAATATAAAGGCTATTTTCTATCTGCTTATTTAAGGCTTGATTCCAAATTTAATAAAAGCATAGTTCGAATTCATTCTGGTTTTTTTTTATATATCGTATCTCCTGCGGAGCTTTAGATCTGAGGCCTTCGCTAGCTTTCCATTTTCATTGATAAATAACTAATCATTTTCTACAAAGAGTCATAGGAAATGTTAATTAGTTCAAAACAACCATTTAATTATTATATCTTAATTGTGAATTGTTTAAGACAAAGTCAAATCTAATGATTCTAACAAATACAACTATCTAACAATGTAATGTGGACAATGAATTTTGAACGCAATATGTAATTCTACTTTTTGTATGAACTATTTTTTTTAAATTGTGCGATGTAAAAATAGGCGGTAGGCAGCGTTTTGGCTCTGCCCCTGGCATTGCTGACGTCCATGAGCGACGGTAACCACTTACCATCAGGTGGGCCGTATGCTCGAGTCTGCCTGCTCGGGCAATAAAAAAAAATACCAAGATAAAATGAATAAAATCGTTTAGTTTTTGGCCGGTTTTTGTCGGTACTAAAATTTTGTTGAAATAAGTGAATTTCACTATATCGATTTGTCCAGTTTAGTAAGCGAAAAAAACCTTTAAATTATTTTACAAAGAAAGACTAGCCATTTATGGTAGTTTTGTAAGACGTACACACTATGAATAAAAACACTGTTACGGGCTAATCTTGCATTTATTTAATTCATTTCACGAAACGAACTCGCATAAAGCTTTTGTATTATCTGAAACTGTACAATGCGAAATTAAACCGTAATGACGTTTATAATAACGCCATTTTAAGTGATGTGAAGTGATAGCAGGAAGACTTCGTGTGCTAAACGACACCAAGACGTCCTTCCATGGAAAGTAAATATGTTTAAACCTAATTATTTGATTAATTGCTTTTTGGTATGCTTGGAAGTGTATGCTAGTTGCGTAGAGCACAAGAAGTGTGATTGCTTAAAACATTCGCTTAAAATATGTAACAGTAAAGCAAAAGAATATATTAATATATAAAATTGAACATTCAAGTGTTAGTAAAGAAAGTTTGTTTTTGTCAATAGCTCCTGAAGTCCTGAGTCGAGAGCCGTNCCTAATTATTTGATTAATTGCTTTTTGGTATGCTTGGAAGTGTATGCTAGTTGCGTAGAGCACAAGAAGTGTGATTGCTTAAAACATTCGCTTAAAATATGTAACAGTAAAGCAAAAGAATATATTAATATATAAAATTGAACATTCAAGTGTTAGTAAAGAAAGTTTGTTTTTGTCAATAGCTCCTGAAGTCCTGAGTCGAGAGCCGTATGGTCACGCCGCGGATTGGTGGTCGTTGGGAATCGTAACATGCAGAATGCTAACTGGAGAAGTGAGTTAATTTAATAGTTATTAATAAAAAAAATTATTAATAAAATATTAATATTGAGATTTATTGAAATTCAAGCCAAACTTTTTATACCATGTTTTACATAAAAGCGTCTCTAGCCCGTGTAGCGCCCTATACTAAGCGCGCGGTCAAAATGGAATCGGTACAAATGTAACAGATTCATTGAAAGTGCCGACGCCTGTGCCCTCTAACACAGTTGCCCCACCACACCCTGCACCGCAGCTAAAGCCGCCTCTCCTTTTACATATAAAATGACTAGTTGCGATGCGACAGTCTCGATTCGTCCACTTCGTGCTTTTAAGCTTTGCTCTGGCTAGGGCTAGTATTAAAAAATTCTCTCAGGTTGAACCCGTGAGCTCACCTAGACCTCCGCGTGTAGCTGAAATAGCCCCACAGGTTACCAACGAATAAGAGGGGAAAAACAATATGTATAGTACGCTCTACGAATACCAAGTCCCATAATAATATGTACATGTAAAGACACTTTTTAACTTCGATTTTTTGGTTTCATTTATTTTTTATTGGACAGACGGACGAGCTCACAGCCCACCTGGTGTTAAGTGGTTACTGGAGCCCATAGACATCTATAACTATTTTTTTTTTTTATTGCTTAGATGGGGAGACGAGCTCACAGCCCACCTGGTGTTAAGTGGTTACTGGAGCCCATAGACATCTACAACGTAAATGCGCCACCCACCTTGAGATATAAGTTGTAAGGTCTCAGTATAGTTACAACGGCTGCCCCACCCTGCAAACCGAAACGCATTACTGCTTCACGGAAGAAATAGGCAGGGCGGTGGTACCCGTGCGGACTCACAAGAGGTCTTACCACCAGTAATAAAACTTGTATGTATAAAAAATGTATAACTTGCATATATACATAGATATATTAAGTAGTAACGTATAACCGTGTCAATATCAGTTCGGGATGGGTGAGACGATCTACCATATCTTTTGAAACAAATAATTTGCTTGAGATCAAGTCTTTTAACCAGGAGAAATCAGATATCGGCGAAATGAGCGTCTTTCACTGGAGCGCAGGGTACTTGCGTTCTGCAACATTTTCCACTAATCGCGATGTTTGGTCGGGCAGTACTGGCACGAATGAGATGCGGAAATCGAAACTACGCAATATGAACTCGTCGAATTAATTCACGTAATCATCTGCCCTAAATTTTTCTATTGCATTGATGGGTCTACCAGATTATAGTTTCATAACGTGAATGCCGCGCCCTATCTTGAGGCATGATTTCTAAATCTCTTCTAAGAGTAGTCTTCTAATAGTATAGTTTAAATAACGGATGTCAGAAATAGGCAAAGTGATGGTATCTATCCATTCACAAGACACCCAACCTTTACTTTTGAGACGTGGTTAAAAGCTTTCCACAATTGTAAAATACAAAAGTAAGAAAGCTGTTTTTCTAATGCAATTCGAACTCGTGGTAAGATAGGAGAGCTGGAGCGTATGGTCGGATTTCAATAATTCATTCCCTAATAGTGCTAGTCACTATATTCTTGAGTATCATGTATTTTGATAAACATTCTAATCAACCAGATTTACTTGTAGTAGGCTGTAGTACAATGGTGTGTGGCAGAAACCGCTCATCATAGTCAACAGTTCAAGGTTTAGTTAAATTTTATGCATTAAATTTTCCCTTTTGTTTTGGTATTGATATTTTTTCTTGTTAATTGGACAAAAGAACGCTTTCCAAAAAAATAATATAATATTTTTTTTTCTCCCTACCTATTTGCTGGTAGCTTAAGAGGCTATTTCAGCTACGCCCGGACGCGATTATTAGAAAGCTCGTCATAAGACTACACAGAAAACCGGATAACAAACTTAGGAGAAAAAGGAATCTTATCTGTTTTATCTTGCTTCTACCTGTTTAACTTGGACACTTACATACTTTTACTACTACTACTACTACTCCAACCTATTTTTGGAATAGATAAAAGAAGCCTGAATTATTATCATAAATTATGTTTGACTTTTTCAAATTTTATACGTATGTATAAAATCGCGGGCAGACAATTGCAATTCTATTATATGAATAAAACAATAATAAAATCATTCCATAATTTAAAATATAAACTTCTGTAGCGGCGTGACTGTGAGTCTGGAATTGCCAATGTCGTAGAGCGACAGTGACGACATCATTGAGTATTGCCGCATTGCTCTTTTATCTTCAAAGTTAATTAAAAAGAAATTTAGCTTTATTATTTAGTGTTGGTTGATTGTTGTTATGCTGAGTGCAAAAACGATGTTCAACTCTGTAACCTTTATGATGAAGTCAATCAGGTAATAAGTCAATTAAAATTAAAAAGAATGAAACTAATTCTTATTACAAAAAAACCTTTATTATTACTTATGTTATCAGAAATTCGATAATTTACTTCGACAAATAATTACATCGTAGGTAATTTTTGATTTCATTATTTAAATAAGTCTCTAGGTCTAGGAAATAGACAGTTATCCACCTCGGTGTAGAGAACGCCACTCTCACTCACATGGGGTAGTTTCACACATATACGCTACAGTTAATCTCTCGCGTTGGCAGCGGAGCACGAGTTAATGTGTTCGCTGCAAGCAGTGGACGCGTGTCGAAGACTGTCAACACGCGTCCGCCGCTTAACGCCTTCGCGGTCTATCTAAGATTTGTTTTCTTCAGATTTGGATTCGTCAGATGATTGCGAACTTTCTGAGGAACTAGACGAGTCTTTGTCCTTGGTTTTTGTTTCTTTGTTTTTGTCGTCGCTAGTTTCGGGTGCTACTGGAATGTCATCTTTAGCTGTAGTCGCAGAGTCATCAGCCGACTTAGCTTCAGCTTTCGGCGCATCAGGTGAAATGTCAGCAGGCTTGTCCTCATCTACAGGATTGTCTGCTAACTTAGGAGCATCGGCTGCTTCAGGAGTCTTAATTTCAGGAATTGCAGCAGCATCGCTTTCTACAGTAGGAGCCAAGTCGATCTTCTTCACCATGTTGGGAATGATGGCAGCTGAGTCGGCAGAACCTTCTGCATCAGTAGCACTAGGTTTTTCTTCTTTTGAAATTTCAGCGACGGTAGCTTGTACTTCAGTTTTTGAATCTTCAGGCTGAGCAGCTGGTTCTTCCACTTTAATATCAGCAGATTTTGCTTCAGCATCGGGAATCTCGGATGATTTTGCTTCCGGGACTTTTTCTTCGGTTTTCACTTCAGGAACGGTTTCCGGTTTCGCGATATCGGAGTCTTCTGGGGCTATATCGTCCTTTTTGGCCTCTGGTATAGCGGGTACCTCGTCGTTACTAACTGGAGCAGGTTCGGCTTTCTTCTCTTCAGTGGCAGCAGCTACTTCGGTAGGTTTAACCGAGTCATCAATTTTGGGCGCGACTTCTAGAATTGGTTGAGCGGGAACTACGTCCTTTTCCTCCGCCACTGGCATCGCCAAACTCACAGCCGCGAAGGCTATGCACAATAGTAAGACCTTCATCCTGAAAACAAATAAAAAAATACCGTAATTAGTGGTTTTATAAAATTTACTGTGAATTGTATAAAATTAGAATGCACGTCTGCAAGTCGTGAGTACAGTAAGGCCAATGTTACGCTCTAGTCGACTGACATTTTGCTGCAATTTTTCAATTAAGATTGAATAATTTAAGGGTCCGTTGCGTCGGTGAATGGGAACCTTCCTTCTAGTCAGTTCCAATTGATTTATTAGAAATAAGTAGGATGTAAACTATTTGTGAAAGGGGTGCTACAATCAGATTCGAAATACGTTGCTCAAAATTATTAAAGACCGCCCATGTCATATTGGCTTATAAATAAAAAAATCGTAACAGAAATACAAATATTTTATCATATTGTAAGCTGGTTAGGCATAAGCTATGTTGTGTGCGTTCAAGAGAGCCAATTAGTGACTATGTTGGGTTTTTAAGAACTGGTTGTGCCGTTGAAAAGAGATGTAACTCAATAAATAAGTGGCAGCAACATAAAAATTCTTCAGGTGCAAATTAAAATTTTAACTATTCAATAGTAAATAAATATTGATGTAATCTCATCAACATTTCTGATTACGGATGCTTTCTAGTGCGTGCGAAGTACGCAGGATGCGAAGTGCGCATTGAAAATAAGAATGATGGAGACTAGACGTCAGTAGTACACGTTCTGAATTTTAATCGATCTATTGATATAAACTGTTGACTAAAATGCAATGCATCACACGTCGCATGAATCATTCACACCCATTAATACAAGTCTGGCAACGCTAATCGTAAAAGACGTACAGGATAAATTGGAAATACATTGTTTGCAATAATGTTTTTCCATAATTAGCCAGAAATTTGTGTATTTTATAATGCATAAGATTCAATCAATAGTCAAATTTGAAGTCATTACATTTGATATGCGGATTAGTTAACGAAAAACGTTTAGGGGTGTCATTATTTTGAAGATAAAAAAATATTGGAGTTTGTCGAATACCCTAAACTGCGGAGACCAATGGAATAGAACATTCTGAAGGTAACTTCGATTGCGTACCCTAACTATTTCTGTCACGAAGTAGAACGCGAAAAGGAATGATCGCTATAAATATCGCTAAAATCATCATAAATATAACAGTGCCAATGTATAAAATATCGAAGAAAATTCATTATAATTACTGAAATTAAAATATTGTATTGATTCGATGATATTCTGGAAGGATATCCTCGAATGGTCTGAGGGCATGGATTGTCGTCTTCCCACACGGCACGGCAATTTTTCAATTGAAGCCCAGCGCATGCTTGTTTATTGCGCTAATGAAAAAGATCATTCTTAGCATCCATGTCTGCTACAATGTACCAGAACTACTGTAAGAACGTAATTATAAAAGCACACCAAGAGACACTAAAGTTCCACTGTGGTCCATGACTTGAGGTAGTTTGTGTTCTTACTTCAAATACCTTTCTAGGTTGACGTAAATTTAGAAAATCTTCATCGAACTTTCGCATTATTTAGATCAATGAAGTATTCAATTTTATTATAGAGGCCTTGCATTTAGAATTACTTCTATTATGTTGATGATTTCGTCACAATATCGAACGTTACGGTTGACTGTATGTTTACGAAATGCGCATGTTTCAGTTACGATCTTTGAATTCGAAATAATGCAGTTTGTGACGATTTCGATCGTTACATTATAATATTTGTTCATATTTCATTGTTACGATAAAAATTTGATTGAATGGCCAAAGTAAGGAACGAAACGAAAGTCTTTAAAGCAGTATGTTAGTAAATTGTTGATAGGATTAGTATTCAGCTTTTGTTTATTACCCAGTCTAAATTTTTTTACCAAAAAAAAAACATCACATGAACACCTTTATTTTTAAATTAATCAAAGGTTGCACGGTCACTGAGTTATATTTTATATGAATGCAGTCAGTTTTTACGGATAACATGTTCTGGTCGAAAGACTCAATTGTACAGCTGGTCACAATTATTATAGCACCCCTCGAAGCCTGATTACTGTGAGAAATGGTAACGTCTCTGTTATGAGAAATTGCTGATGCGTATTACAACGTACTAACCGTGTCGCTCAGTAACAAACAGCGAGCTAACGAGAAGGCATTAATTATTATTTGCGTTGGCTGCATTTTTAATTAATTTTCAAGAATTAGTCAATTTCCTTTTTGGGCAGTAAAAATTCACTAAGAAAAATGAATTTAATAAATCATTTCAGATGTAATAAAACTATGATTTGATGGCTATGTTTTGTTACAGTGCATAGTGTTATGACAAGAACAGTGCCTACCTAAGTATTGATGATTCACAAATTTCTGAATCACGAGCTTTGAAACTAATTGCAAAGTATAATATTTTAGTAATATTAGTTTTAGTTTTCTTCATACTTTCGTTGATGGGTGATATTTAATATCAAATTTCATTTAAGCAATCCTCATCATTTACCTATTCGATTTCGTTATATTATGTGTATAAAGACAGTTTTGGTAATATTTGCGTCATGTTACTGAATTAGTATGACAATCACGTTCGCCCATAACGCAACATGTGTAAATGTATTCAACAATTATAATTAGAAATTCTCCGGTAGATAAATATTTTATGAGTATGTATTTTCTTTCGGGCAATGAATTTCAATTATTACTCAAATTATGTTTCTGGTTCTTCAAAACGCTAGAGGTCCAAAACAAAAATAAGTATGATATTTTTATTAAAAATAGGACACTTAAATTAATATACATGAACTATGCATATAGATTGATACAGATCCCATTTTTCACTAAGAAAATAAAAAAAAATATCAAACTGAATATTACAATTTGAAATTATTTGATTTAGCGTTTTTATTTAGCGCATTTATGAGTCCATACAATTAATAATAAAACAAACAAATTAATTCTTCGAAATATTATTACGGTACGAAATATGATGGTAATTATATATAATGGTATATATATTTTCGGTTGTCAAAAACTATACCATAATGCAATTTATTGACAATCACGCCGAGTCAGTCAGCACATCAGCATAAAGCGGTTTGTCGCTTTTGATGCCTAGATTGAATTTTAGTATTCCTCATCATGATACAACACCCTTTGTCGTGTTATGAACAAGAACTGTGACTTCAGCGGTTAAGCAACTTGACATTTTGCATTTAATGCCAAAGGTGGAGCTGTTACAGCACCCTCGATATTTTCATGTTATTTTATATCCTCTCAGTCGATCGATGTTCCAGTTTTTTTTAAATAATCTACTCTTTATTATAAGGTTTTTTTTTATTGTTTAAATGGGTGGACGAGCTCACAGCCCACCTGATGCTAAGTAGTTACTGGAGCCAATAGACATCCACAACGTAAACGCGCCACCCACCTTGAGATATAAGTTCTAAGGTCTCCAGTATAGTTACAACGGCTGCCTCATCCTTCAAACCGAAACGCATTACTGCTTCACGGCAGAAATAGGCAGGGTGGTGGTACCCAACCGCGCGGACTCACAAGAGGTCCTACCACCAGTAAAGGTATAGGTAAATAAGGGCGAGAAACGATTTTTACGATATAATACTTTGAGAAATTACTCGCTTTTATTACACTGTAATCACCGAACAAATTCTATTGATTGATTTAATATGATTATGCAACCCGCGATTACAAACAGGAGCATCCTATAAAACTGTAAAATATTTCAATTTATTTATTAAGAACACGCAATGTTCTTTTGTTGTCTGTTGCGTTAATTTGTCGAATTTCCAGTAAAAAATGACCCAGACCGTCGTGTTACCACAGCCTACTTTCTCGATCCCCCTGGTCGATCACGTATCACAGATGTCGGTATAAAAGTCATAACATACGAGATTCTCGGCCCGATGCGGCCTGTTGTAATCCATGAACAATTGCGCAACTCACGACCCACGGTTCATTGTCGACGCTCGAAGTATCGATCGATCCCGTATATAATCTACAATGACATCTTAATGTCATTAATCAAATAGAAATGTCACAGTGATGACAGTCTCTCAATCGGAGCAAGGTCTCTGGATCTCTGAACAATAGGCTTGAATTTCGAGAACGAATAGACGTTGATAATATATATGAACTTAACTACTTATATGGTTACAACGTAACTGGATTTTAATTTTAAGTGTGGAGAATATTTATTTAAAGAAATATAAAGAAATGTTGTAACAGCAAAGTGACGAAGGTGACTAAAAATGTTATAATACAAATTTTTGACAATAAAAGCAATCGATTTCTACGGATTAAAATGAGAATATCATCAATGCAGTCGAAGTTAATTAAAGATAAGTCGAAAACTAATAGTCGGATATTTGATACAATTTAATTAAGGCTGCCATTAGAATCGATCAAAAGCGATTCTATTCAGGTACAAAAAACGAATGAGACTGCAAAAAAAAAGTCGAATTGAAAACCTCCTCATTGTATGAAGTCGGTTAAAATATAGCTTAGGTCAATGCCAGCGGAAGAACTGCATTTTGTGTAACGACATAACTTGTTACAGACCGCAAGGAAATGTCACAAAAACCGCTCGTGCTGAAAGATCCGATGTTCCGAGGAAAATGTTAAATGTTTCAACCCAAATTAAATATTTGAGTAATGTTTACCGCTTAACCGCTGTTGTATAACCTATGGAATTTTGTGCTGATGCATATTACCGAATTTAAAGAATGTAGTGTTTTTATTCTTAATACACAGACCTCTGACCGTGACGCAAGCCTTACGGATAATATGTTATATACATACATAGATCATATGTACGTCATAAAACAAAATGTAAAAATGCTAGCATAACGGATTAATGAGTTTTCTTCCAGCAAACTACAAGATCAACCACACAATATAAGAAATGTCAAAATGCGCGCAAGAATTTGAAAGCCGTTTATATTATGTAGTATTTATTGTAACTTTAGTATCGACAAACGTATTAGTAATAACAAGATCAGCCACACAGATATAAGCAATGGCAAAATGCGCGCAAGAATTAGAAAATGCGTTTATATGTAGTATTGTAAGCTTAGTATCGACAAACGTATTACTGATAACTGAATGATATATACAAATATAAACCGCTCATTTTATTTCAGTTGTAACTTTGAATACACAGCACGCTGAGGACGTCTCGTTATGTTGTCAGAAAATTAAGCTTGAAAATTTGACGTGAATAAACGTCGCTCGTCTAAAATAATTACGTATGCGGCTTTACGCTATTGTTGTTAACATCCATGACCCATGGAAATTGTTAGCATTACGTTCGGATACACGCGGCGTGTCACCTTGGCCGGTGGTCCTTACCGGTCGCTTTAGTTTTTGCATAAACCGATTCTATTTGTTGGCACCTTAATAGGGTAACAACAAGTTTCCGTAGATATTTCCGTTCCACGAAATGGATCTTCCGAACAATTGCTATAATTCATGGCGACGCAGCTCATGTCACGGAAATATAATGCGCATGTCGTAAGTAGCATTCGTCGCCTCGTCTTTCTCTGACCGGAATATTATTCCGTATAAACCAACATCATGTTACATATTATTATACTTGCTCAAAATCGTTTTATTCATTATTATCAGTTTTATAACGTGAAATCGTTTTTGTTAATTTTATTGTTTACTTTTTGAATATATTTAATTGATGTAGAATTAAATGTTTTATTGTATCTCATAGTCACGACTTTAATATTAAACAATCAAAAATACTGGTTAATTCTTTGTTCCAAAGACTACCTTCATCGGTTTCTCTAATGATGCACAACTATTTTTTAACGTTGTGTCTAATTGAGGTTCGTCAGGGTTGAGTCACGGAAACAATAAGCTTTTTTCTCTTAAGTTTAGTTTAGAATTTGACATGCAGAACGATTTTTTATTAAAGTTTTGTTACGCTCTAGTCAGCAGGCGGGGTCAGTAGGAAAATTTATTAATAAAGCGCATCCTATACTATTCGTATAATATAATATTTATTACGTTTTTAAATTATATATACTATACTGTTCGTTTCATATTTTTCGTTTTAATTTTTCTTGGTTATTTTTTTTAACTGTTCTTAAAAGGGGCTGTCGTCACACGTTTGATTGCTACGTTGGTGGATCCTGACTACCCTGTACCCTGATGAGGGGGCCCTGGACACAAACTTTGTGAAGTTTATTTTATGCTCGGAGTGTTAATGTAGTTTTTATTGCCATAAAAGGCAGGCGAACTATCGGTCCCCATGGTGTTAACCGTCACTCATGGACATCAGGAATGCTAGAGCTAGGAATACACAGCCGCCGAAGACTCCTTACAAGCGACATTTGAAGAGAGCCACGTAATGGCGTTCATAGTGCAGAGAAATTCACGTATAACGTAATTACTATGAAAGATTATTTATTTTCCAATACTAGCTTCACTGCGGAGNAAGGCAGGCGAACTATCGGTCCCCATGGTGTTAACCGTCACTCATGGACATCAGGAATGCTAGAGCTAGGAATACACAGCCGCCGAAGACTCCTTACAAGCGACATTTGAAGAGAGCCACGTAATGGCGTTCATAGTGCAGAGAAATTCACGTATAACGTAATTACTATGAAAGATTATTTATTTTCCAATACTAGCTTCACTGCGGAGCGTGGAGCATTAATCGATTATTATTTCTATATATGTGTAGTATTATATATTTCAGAAATATACTCTACCGAAATTCATCCAAACCAATATTTCTAAGACAGTAAGACAGTTACTGTCTTAAAAATATTTTTCGTTATGTTTTCACGCCTAAAACGCTGAATAAATTTTGACGAAATTCGATATGGAGATAGCTCGGACTTTTAATACCACTACTGAAAAGGGTTCTCCGCCCACTCGATATAAAGTGTACTACTTACTACACACGAATGAAGATGCGGGGGCTAATATAAAGAAGCTTCCTAGGAAGACGTCTGGTTAATTAAAAAATACTAGCTTTCAATTTCGCGGATATCGAATTAAACTGTAAAGGATACTTACTTACCTATGGAATAGATCTTTGAGTTAAGTTAGTCTTATTTATATTTGAAATCGTATAAAATATTAATGTTGATTCTTATAGTGGAGTCTACTTAAGATTGATTCATAGATTCGTGCCGCATTAGCTCCGCCTGACAGGGCGTGTATATTTAAGATTTGTAGACGTTTACTTGAAGCGATTAATCGACTAATTCTGATTAATTAATACGTGAAGCAAAATTTCGTATCGCTTTTTACGAAAATTGCGCGGACGGAGGAGTATGAAATTTTCCAGACTTTTAAAGAATATAGTGAAGAAGTGCACAATGCTAATATTTTTTTTAAATAATGCATAAAAGATGCATTAAATCAATAAAGAAAACATTACACACACTACATACCATGTATTTGACGCACACACGCATGCATACTATTTATTGTCAAACTTTTGTTCTTGGCGTCTCTTGTCAAATTGAGAATAGATTAAATATTGTTTGCCTTTGTTAATATTTTTAATAGTGTAGTCTTGGCGAAATTTGTGACTATAGAAGTATTAAATACAATCATAATAGTGTACAAACTTACAATTCCAATTAATTATAGTCGAATTTCGACTACTGTGGGACCTCTAGTTCTGATTAATAGACATTATTTGTGGCGTTCGCTCCTGGCCTTTTCATTTTTCATTATTATTATTTTTTATTGTATTTTTTGACTTGTTTTTTCCTTTATTGTAAATATTTTTACTTATTTAAAAAAAAAGTAAATATTTGAGAAGAAACATAAAAAAAGCCCGCTGAGTTTGTTTCGCCGGTTCTTCTTAGGACTGTGGTTTTTTTGGAACCGGCGGTAGAGTTAACATTGTTATTTCTATTTTGACATTCAACAAGTGTGTTATACTGACATCTAAGTTGAAATAAACGAATTTTAATTAGAATTAGAATATATTTTTTTAGGATATATATGTCCGAATTTTTGTTATAATATTATTGTAGCTACATGTTTTACCGACGGAAAATTAAACCTTAACAGGGAAAATAAACTAAGTTTGAATAAGCTCTAAGAAACGCAGACAAAATCCACGACGGCTGTTATTGAATTAATGTTGAACGGTGATTTAGAGGTCTACATTTAAAAACTTTATCGAACGAAGAACTTAAGACATTGAATTGACAATTCTCTATTTAAATTTAAAGAGCAAAATTTAAATTAAACAATAGAGAACAAGGTAACATTAAATAAATAATACGTTATAAACAAAATGATATTGACTTTAATAATTCTGAATTTAAATACTATACTGAAAGCTATTTTACATTTTAATAACTGTGTAGGCTTTTGCAGAGATGCGATCTGACGCCGCTATGAATAACATTAAACCAGCTACAAAATCGATAAACCCCTTTCCAACTCACTGAAGCGTCAAGGGTGTCAGCGCATATTATGTATCAAGACAGGTCAACTACGTAATATAAAAATAGCATTTGGACGCAGACAAGCAATTTTCTGGCCATCCTAGTGTATTGTGTTTATTGTCCACGTTGTTAATAGTTATTGCAAGCTGCTTAACAACGAAATGCACAGTAATTTGAATTAGATTGTGCAATATACACTTGATAAATGCCTCTGCGTGCAGTATAACGATCGATTTAATTTTAATATTAATGTATATTATTTTTCAGATCGCCGTTTGATATTCTAAAATAATATAAGATATATGTTGTGTAGCAATAGACGAACGGGAGAACGATAATATTTAAAGGAGATGCTGTCAATTTTCAAAACAATACTCACTTAAATATGGATCCTGTGACGCGACGCCGCTTTTTAAAACACTGACACAAATTGTTAAAGTAAAATATTAATTTAATGTGTGATCGTTGTGACTGCCAGCAATGTATTGGTGGTTGTTTGATAACGCTCGTGTTTATATAGCGGGTGCGGGAGGCGGGTTTATACCGCTCGAGTAGTCTCTGCGTGTGACCATCTCTACTCGTCGAAGCTTTAGCATCATGGCCTTTGTTATTTATGAATTTTAAAACTGACGAACAAGACATTAACTTACAGAACGTTTACAATAATTCAGGGTATTGTTGTACGTATTTTTCAACTAAAAACTTTTTATTGAAACTAAATAATAATATAAAGCTAGCATCATAAACAAATTATGAATTAAAAGAGCTTTATGTGTCATTATTTAAATTATTAATGATTAAAAGTCGTAAGTTTTATGTGTTTTAAATAAAATATTTATATTTGAACAGAGATGCCTTCAACTAATACAGGCGATAGAACATAAATTAACTACATACTATAGGAAATATGAACAAGTTTTTTTTATTTTTATTCGGGACAAAATTAAGTATCTCTTATAATAATCTCTTGTACTTCTTGCCAGTTTTTCGACAAGTTAGGTCGACACAAAATGTAAAATGTGATAGGTTTAATCGATCTACGTGATCTTAACTTTAAGGTAAATTTAAGAATAAAAGACTACTCAGTCTGATAGAGTAGATGAGCAGCTGATCACTTCGGCTTCAAAAAAAAATTTAAAAATTGGTTTAGGGATTCTGTTCAAATAAACATAAAAATAAATATGTAAATAATTATTATAGCTATTAAAAAAAAACGATAATTTACATTTTTATTTAGTTATTTACAGAGAACAACTGAACCTTTATCTGAAACCGTTTTGGGTATTTTTGTCGTATATTGAAATTACGATCAATATATCTTCTATCTTCTTCTTCTATATATATAAAAATGAATTGCTGTTCGTTAGTCTCGCTAAAACTCGATAACGGCTGAACCGATTTGGTTAATTTTGGTCTTGAATTATTTGTGGAAGTCCAGAGAAGGTTTAAAAGGTAGATAAATTCTTCTATACTTCTATATATATATAAATGAATTGCTGTTTTTTAGTCTCGCTAAAACTCGAGAACGGCTGGACCAATTGGTTAATTTTTGTCTTGAATTATTTGTGAAAGTCCAGGGAAGGTTCAAAAGGTAGATAAATGAATGAAAATGTTCGGAATTAAATAAAAATAACAGTTTTGTTTTCCCTTTGATGTGTCCCCCGTCGGACGGTATCCTTTTGTTTGTTTTAAGTTTATTTTATACAAAAGTTTAGGTCTTTTATTTATCGATTGAGGCAGTAGGAAGTCTGCCGGGTCAGCTAGTTTGTAATATAATAAGGTTGACCATCAGTATTTTAACAATAGCATTAAATAAGTCGAAGCAAATGATTTACTTGTAGGAATTGGAGGTTCTAAGCTTCACGTTACAAATTCTTTGTAATTGAATATGTATAAAACAGCAAATTACCGACTTTGTTTAACACATTAATTCTTAGGTTTTTTTATTAAAATAAGCATTCTAGGTATTTCAATTGTGCTTAGTAAATTTGTTGTCCAATACAAAGTATTATTCTTAAGTACGCAAGTTTTCTAAAATGTCATCCAATTTAAGCGCTAGGCAGCGGCTTGGCTCTGCCCCTGGCATTGCTGAAGTCCATGGGCGACGGTAACCACTCACCATCAGGTGGGCCGTATGCCCGTCTGCCTACAAAGGCAATAAAAAAAATATATTTAAAGTCATCGTGTAAAATCCGTCAAACATCAAAAACATTTTTTCGCATAGACTATTTCATAATGAGCTCATACAGTAAAGTTAAATTATATATCAGATTTGTGATGCATAATTTACTGGCCTGAATTGAAAGAGGGCGACCTAAAATATCTGAAGAATTAGGGAAAGACTTATGTAAAAAATATAGTCCACTTTTTTGGGTGTGGTTATCGGGAAATGCCTGTTGATTTTGCAGGCGCAGGGTTATGATAATATAATTTCCGGCGGCTGTTCCCGCAGCGAGACAATGCAGAGAATAGCTGTTTCCTTTCTTATAAGTAGATAATTGAGTGCAGTGTTGTACCCTACGTGCCGGCTGGTGGCTGATTTTTTGAGTGCAATTGCGCAGATGAGTAGATAAGTTCAAAATCAACGCTGTATTTAACGAAAGCCAAAGACTTCGTAACATGAATACAGGCTATCCCACCTTTCAAACCGAAATGTATGATTTCCCGGGCAGAAATAGCCAGTGGTAATACCAGGCTGACAACTTGCCGGGCGCATTTATCACGAGTGTGTTAACCTGTTATTGGTTACTCGAGGTTGTTCGAGTTCATATTATTTATTTGATTTACATAATTTCATGTTGGTTGGTAACGTGGAATATGTTCAGTTTGGTAATCATCATCGACAATTTTTAATAGCCATGCTAAAGTCGGCTTCGACAAGGGTTAATTATAAAAACTTAAAAAAATCGTTGGGCTTCTAAGGTGCAATAAATATGTTAGTATACTAAGTAGGTACATATTTTTTTAGTTAATACTAGTAAAAACCGGTCGCGCTGCGCTGTGACTATCTTGAATTTTATGAAAGACTAGCGACCCGCCCTCACTTCGCTTCGGAAACATTAAATTTTATTATTGATAGCTGAGTCCCGCGAAGTTACCCGCGGTTATTGTCGTACCACGGGTGACGCCGCGATGTGAAGTAGTCTTAAAAAAGTAGCCTAAGTTACTCCTTATATCATCAGCTACCTATCAGTAAAAGTCTCGTCAAAATCGGTCCAGCCGTTCCAGAGATTAACCGGAACAAACAGCAGACAAAAATTGTAAAAAATATTATTTTAGTGTATGTACCGTATATATATTCATATGCATGTAGTAAAAAGCGGCTATTTCAATATTAAAAACAGACAAACCAAATATATTTATATTACAGATGTATAGATATAGCTTTCTGAAAGCTAGCTATCATACGTTGAATCTTCGCTGGAGTGCCAACAAGTGTCCAAGATGATTAGTTCTATACACAATTGGTTCGGATACGCATACATATATGACAAATACAAAATCATCCTTTTTATTCATACAGATAGAATAGTGAAATCCGATGACCCTTCACTGTGATTATCTCTAATCGTGTGATTATTTTCTAATGGAGACTTCCAAACTTTCTTAAAGTTTTGTTGATATGTTGGGTGGACGAGCTCACGGCCCATGTGGTGTTAAGTAGTTACCGGAGCCCATAGACATCTACAATGAAAATACCGCCACTCACCTTGAGGCATGTGGTCTAAGGTCTCAGTTTTAAGGCTGCCCCACCCTTCAAACCGAAACGCATTACTGCTTCACGGCAGATATAGGCAGGGCGGTGGTACCTACACGTAGGGACTTACAGGATGTCCCAACACAGTATAAGTTCCAGTACCACTTCATACAAACCTTGTTCTGATAATTTCGGATATACAGAAAAATAAATTATCAAAATCAGTCGAGCTGTTGCCAAGTGACCGACCTACCCATAATATGTACCTATAGCAATTAGTTATGTATTCATAAAAAATATAGGTAGATTTTTTTTTAACAAAACTTATAGTTTATATACACAGACATAAACACCTATTAACTACTACTTGTGTTGAAAATATCCTTCAATTTCGTTATCATTTCATTACATATATTTGCAGACTAAATAAGAAGTTCGCAAGACACTTGTTTATTATATAGATTAATGACCTATTTCACTACATAATTTACATGACTACTTATCTGTCTATTCAGCCTTGATAACAAAGCCTATGCTTTTACTAATTTTTATCTAAACATGAATCATTTGTAAATTAAAATTAACGTGATTATGGAAAGTGATATTTTTTTAAAATTTGTGGATGGGTGGGTGAATGCTAAATATTATTGTTTATGTGGGATGTCCAGTCGATGATTTCATTGACGTGTTTAAAAAAAATACGATAGGCCTTTGTTCGGATGTAACCGAAACTTCGGTAGATTCACTTAATAGAATATTACAGTCCTTATATATTTGGACCAATATGTAAATCCAGATTAATACAATATTTACATCCCAAAGAAACAAGACGGCGATTCGAACATTCGCAGGGGTTAACAAAACTCCTGTGTGCTTAATGTGAGTTTTTTAACGTCCTCGATAGCGTAAAAGTTAACCCAATTTTGTATGCAGTTGGAACAGCGCCCCTAGCGGCAAAAGTACGCAAACGATCCCATTCCATACAAATATGAGCTAACTTTTAGGCACTAAGCACACTGGAGTAGCAACGCCTGTGTTCTCAAACCGATACTATAAATAATTTGTATTTTGGTATATTATTTACATCTCCGCTCTTTGTTTATAATCGACTGTAATCGAAACGTAAACTAGACACAGAAATGTATTAACTCCATCATCGGTAACTACGGGACTCTAATCCCCAATAAACTCTGCTAAGAAAATAAGAATTATAAAAAATTATACAAATACAGTTTTAATTTCTTTAACAACAGTGATTATATCACTTGTTTTTATGAATTCTTTAATCGAAATTGGAAAATAGTCGCTGATACCTAAAAATTAAGATTATATTTTATTACACACTAGCTGACACGGCAGACTTCGTAGTGCCTCAATCGATAAATAAAAGACCTAAACTTTTGTATAAAATAAACTTAAAACAAACAAAATTAATCCGTCCGATGGGGTACACATCAAAGGAAAAACAAAATTGTTATTTTTATTTAATTCCGAGCATTTTCATATTTATCTACCTTTTAAACCTTCTCTGGACTTCCACAAATAATTCAAGACCAAAATTAGTCAAATCGGTCCAACCGTTCTCGAGTTTTAGCGAGAGAAATTCATTTTTATATATATAGATAGATAGATTACTTGTATTGAGATTTCCTTTTTGTAGAAATGGAAAATAATCATTCATAAAATCTTTTATTTATAACAATAACGCTTGTTTATAGTTACGAAAGAATCAGTTGGAAAAGGTACCTTACTGCAATGGTTTCTTTCTGTGTTTATTTATATACTTACTTTTTTGAGTTTCCTACGTAG